CCTCGTTACCGATATCTGCGCATGCTCCTCGAAGCCGTCCGGGCTTTTCGTCTTGTTGCGGTGGTAGAGAAGGGAGGATTAAGCTCGCTTTCGTGACGCCCCGCTAGACCACGCTTGTAGATGAGATCCTGTAATCTGTTTATAAACGGTCAGAAACAGTCGACGCTTTAACCTACCTGCAAGTTCTGCGCTCGTACAACACTCAAGTTGTTGATTCCAAGCACGAAACATATTGGTTCGATGTATCATCACATATCTGCCTATGTTGCAAGTCACAGGTCCCTAGATCAGGCAGCTAACGCTACAAGACTGGAAACAGCCGGGGAAGCAAAAAAAGAGAGAGAAATCCCCCATTGATCATTCAGTACAGTAATACCCCCCCCCCCCCCCATTCGATACTCAAACAGCGGCTTACAACGTCGCCCATCCACCATCCGTCCCATACCGTATTTTTTCAATTCGATGGTCGAATGGGTAATGGTTCTCCCACCCAGCACTCCGTATTGGATACGGTGACAGGATGGTGGATACGGAGTGGATACGTGGCAGCCAGCCGCAGCAGTGACTATTCAGATCCTTCATCCCCCTTTCCAGCCAATGAACTATTTTTCGCCATTTGTGACCCACTGTTTTTGTCTCCACCCGTTGCCTTCGTGTCCATTTTCCTGTTTGAGATGGATTGAGCGAGATGGAGAAAAGCTTGGATGTCGAAGTGATGAGATGAGTAGACGACTTGGCTCTGTTGGTTGTTTGGGCGAGTAGAAAGGTACCTCGACCCAGCATTGCAAGACCTCTGCTATTTACCCAGACTAGAATGTTTTGCGATAAAACTCCCAATCCTACCAACCTAGATGTGCAAAACCAACACTCATCCCTCCACCTTCAATTTTCACATGCTAAGAACGGGCGACCCACGTCCCTGGAATACCTGATTTGTAATTCCCGCGCACGCACCTACCTATCCATACGCATGAGTACCGATATGTACCTGTACGTACCAGTACCAAAGCAGGATTGTACACGTATAACCGTACAAACTTCACCCGCGGGTAAATGAATGCGTGATTGAATGAGATTGAGATTGACACACACATTGCATTGCGGCGTGGTTACCTCAACATGAATGGACCCTGCATATTGCGTACCTAGGTAGTAGCGGAGAGTAGCAGTAAGGAGGGAGGGGAGGAGGGGTAGGTGGTAGGTAGTATGGTTCCCACTGGTAAAGGTGGAGTGTGGTATAAGCGTGGTAGGTTGAGTTGTAGGTAGCATAAACATGCGCTACAGATTCAGCTACTACCACCACGTCTATTTGCACCCCTCTGATAACGACCAAACTTCATATTCATCACCATAAATTCCTATCACAATTGCAACATTCGACCACGTGTTCGAGCAATGTGGAAACGATGACATCACAGTACAAGTCACATGCGAGTTCAGATCAAAATCATAATATCAATCGAACAAAAAGCTTTCTTTATCATTTCATTACACACTGCTCAAGTTCTTTCTACTTTTGTGCGCACACAAAAGCTAAAACCAGAAAGCAGCTCATTTGTCATCACCTCCGTTTGTCTACCCTGAACTCAAGTGAAAACCCATTCCATGCCTCGTTCCGTTGCCGTTGCATTTCGTCCATCCATCCGTCCGCCGGCCCTACCCCATATACACAGTGTAGGAGATTCGTAGAAAGTCGTCCATATGCTGTTATCCATGACAAAGAAGATTAGTCGAGATTCCTGTTTCCCGTTTCGAGTTCCGTCCGTCCATTTCATTCCATTCCACTCCACGCAGATGCCCCGCAATGCAAAAGAAAAATGCAAACATTCAATTGAGAGAGATTTCCGACGCCGTGAACGCTCCAGAGTCGCAGAAAACAAGCAGAGTCGTGATGTGAGAAATATTCCAGTATCCAATCATGTCGGAGAGAGAGCGCGAGACTAATCACGTAAGAAAAGGGGGTATATGTGAAGAAACGAGCAAAGGTCTCCTTGGAGAGCTAAACTGGAACTTAATGTGTGTGCGAGCGAGGTCATGCGACTGCTGGGGGAGCGGAAGGTGCAGCGGCGTCGGCGGGAGCATCGGCTTCTTTTGCTGTTTCGTGAACGCCTTCACCTCGGCAGAGGGGACATGAGTTACGACCGGTAGTTAGCCACTGTGACAGGTTAGTACGAGACATTCAATCAAGTGCTTGCCAACATACCTGATCAATGCAGATCTTGTGGAACATGTGTTCGCACTTGACCAGCTTTCGCGCTTCTTCGTCGGCCTCAAAATCGCACAGGCAGACAAGACAGCGTGCGTCAGCAACGAGGTCAATGGACTCGTCCCCGTCAACAGCCTCAGCTACAAGGGCACTGTCAGTACCGCGTATCCTGAATAGACCCGGAGCAGAGGCAACGTCTTCCTCACTGGCAACCGGTGGTTTCGCAGGGCCGAGGATGGAGGATAGCAGCATCATGTCTTCGTAGGTTGGCGACTCAGTGAAGAGACTCGGCGTGGTAAGAATCGGATGGTTCTCGGGATAGCTTCCCCCTAGGACGTAGATGATCCAGCTCCGCGAACCTTCACCGGGGTTGTTGTCAGGCTCTACTACACCTCTTCTTCTTGGAGCACCGGCACCGTATCTTGTGAAGTCAGACTCACTAAGGCGACGGGGCCGAGCATTGCGAGTGTGTGTTTGTGGTTCCTCAACGGTGGGTTCCAGCGTGGATCCGGGGGCAGTTCGGACAAAGCTATTGGCCCGTGAAGCTGCAGAAGATAGTGTGGTGGGTGAAGGGGGTGAGGTCGAGGTTGCTGGTGTGGAGGCGCGCGAGGGTACAGCGGAGGAGTTGAGGGTGGTAGCAGGTGTCGATGGCGGCGGTGAGGGGGCTGAAGGAGAGTCTGTCGCTGAAGACCAGGGACTCGAGCGGTCTTGAGGACTCGCACGCTGGTGCCTCTGGCTGTCGTAATTGGACGGGAAGTTGAAGCCACCCATTGACGCTCTTCGGCGGTGGCTGAAACGTGTGCCGTTCTGTGGGGGTGGTAGCATGTGATGGGTATCACCCGGTGAAGTTGGAGGCGTGGGGAAGCTTGACAGGGCATCGAGGAAAGGTGGGATACTGGCATCCTCTTGGCCCGTACCGTTGCCTGGCTGTATGGATCGGATGCCAACGATTATGATGGGCACCAACCTGCCTTCACCATCTTCGTCGCCCTCTCCACGGCCGATGGCGTTGTCGTTCCTGTTCCTGGGGTTGTCGGTGCTGGTGCCAAACCTAAACATCCTGAAGAAGTTCAGCGGGGCCTGGTTGGCTCCCGGGTTATCGCCGTCTTGGCCCTGCTCGTTGCCTCGTAGGGCCGATGCTATGCTACCATTCTGCAGGGATTGTAGAAACGTGTCAAAGGTACCGTCTCGCGTGGCAGCCTGGTGGTCGTCGCCCACAAGCGAGGCTGCAGTGGCTGCTGCGGCCAGCGAAAGCAGCCTTGACAGCACATCAGCCTGGTCCTCGCCCTGGCGTAGCTGCTCCACATTTTCCATGTGCTCGGCGTCCTGCCACAGTGACCGCCGCCTACGTGGGTGGCCGATCATATTGCGTAGCCGCCGCTGTGAGGGAATCATGCCAAGCCCTCGCCCATCCCGCCGCAAGGCCAAAGAAGGTGGGCGTTGTGCGTCGGTGTCCGTGGGTGAGTTGGCTTGCAGCAGCTGATCAAAGTCGAGTCCCAGTTCCGGCACCTGGACACGAGGAAGGAACTGCCCGCGTTCACTTGCCGTCTGCCGCAAGGCTGAGGGGCCTGGCATGCTTGCTCTTGATGTGACAAAGGCCGGGCCGTCATGTCGGTCTGTATCGGTGTAGTCGTCACGGACATGGGCAGTCAAAGATGGGCGTCTCTGCAATAGACCGGCCATGGAGCTCAGTGAGGTGCGCGCCCGCGTCAGCCTCGCTCTTGAGCGGCCAGGCCATGGTGCCCGTGGTGGTTCAGCATCGGACGGTGACGGACCAGCATCGAGCAGGCCGAAATGTGAGGAGATATGTGAGGAAAGTCGGCGGGAGAGGCGAGTGGCACTAGATCGTGGACGGTCGTTTTGCGGTTGATGTTGTTGACGTGCAGCTGACAGGAGCGTTGGATGTGTGTTGACGTTGTCGTTGACGCTTACAGACTGCGGTGAGCCCAGGAAGCCAGGCGCCCACGACAGCGGGCGCGAGGAGCGGCGCCGTGGATGCGCGTCCGAGTCGATATTCGAAGCCCGTCTTGAATGTGCCTGCCCCATGTTGGTGAGGCCGTCCGGCGAGGAAGGCGCGCCTCTTCTTTAAAGCAACCTGGAAATAGGTCGGGGGTTGCGTCGTCGGGTCGAGGCGTAGGGCAGAGCGACCACGACGACGTTCCAGCGGCGGCTGCCCGTCATGTATCGTGCAGCCGAGCCTTCCCAATTCATCGTCGCGCTAGCCTTGTTGAGTTAGTATCTTCGATCCATGCATTGCTCTTTGCCTCAGCTCCAACACTGAAACAAACTCTTTTCCCCTCCGCCTACCCATGACTTGGTGTCTTTAGGCCCGATATCCCGACCACGCACTACTCCATGCAACCGTTCGCTCTCAATGGGCGCGAGCGGCCTGAAGGCGGCATCAAAGCTGCATTTGACCAATTCTCGCCCATGTTGCATAGTCGCCTACTAAGAGGGGAGTATGAGCGTGCATCCGAGACTTGGGGCCAAATCGCGCGCCTCGCTGGCCGCCCTGTCGATGCTCTCAATCAAGGACGCTCGGGCATAGATGCGGAAAAACTTATTCCTCGCAACCCACTCACTCCAAACGAAACCTCGCAAAACAATTCGCAAGATAGCGAGATTGGAGTCTTGTCCGAGCACGGTTTCGACCTGGTCCGCGAGTACTATGAACATGTCATCACAAACTACCCACACAAACCGAAGGCGCCCTATTCTATTGATGAAAGAACTTTCTATCCGCACATGCTTTCCCTGTGGATTTTCGAGGTTTGCGAAAAGAGCAAGCGTGCGAAGTCGCGATTACAGGATGAGGTTGCGGCCCTATCACCGTCTTCGAGAAGCACGTCTATTGATGGTGTCCATGATGAACAGCCGGATGAGTTCTACACCAAAAAGGAGACAATCCAACGAGAAGAGCTTGCGGGAGCCATACAGATTGCAGAACGCCTCGATGAAATCATCAGTACACTCCCGTCTGAGCACCAAGCGGGTGTCTTACAGCTTCGTTCCGACATTAATGTGTGGATTACACACCTTTCAGAGGACATACATCTGTCTTCGGCCGAAAGTATGAGGCGTGAGCTGCATCGTGCACAGTTAGGACATGCTTGATTTTCCGCATTATACCCAAGAAGCTTGAAAGTCCGCCTGCAAAACAACAAGGTTAAGTTATCCAAGTTGCTTTCAAAACAATCTTAAACTTTTGGTTGGCACTTCTGGCGTGCACTCAAGATATCATGCGCATATACGTTCATGGGCCCGACTTACTGTGAACTGTGTAATGGTGTAGATAGAGCTGGAAAGCAGCGTGCGTTGCTGTATGAGGCATCATCAAGTACTTGTATGGAACAGGACCATCTCTAGCTTGGTGGAGATCACGTATAGTGGAGATGCTGTAGCTCTGTGCAGCAAGATTGCTGACAACATCTTACTATATACTGTATACAGCCGATTCTTAGACCGAGCGCCGCAACCCAAAACCCACTATCCCCACTGACAAAGCCCTGACAAACGGCAGACAAACAACAGCCGAATCTTCCTAATGGATGGTGGGTGTAATCTTTGCAGCTAATAGAGCCGACCCACAGCAAATTGCGCGAATCACAACTCATCTCAACAGCTCCGTGCGTCATTTGACCCTGATGTAGCTTGGAGACATGTGGGGTAAGGACACACCGGCAACGCGGTAAGGTACCGCTTTCTGCCACAAAAACACGCATGTGGGACTCCATAAACCGCCGATATAAGACAGAACGATTGAGAGGGGGCAATATTGGACTTTACTTATATAACGTGGTAAGCCACCCACGGCCAGGAAACAACTTTGGACTTGAACACCACGGTTACATACACGAGGTATCTACAACACTCGGCCTTTTTCTGGATTCGGCCAAAGATTCGACAACGGTGCGAGCGAACAGAAGTCCACCATGGCAACTACCGATTCGCAAGAGTCGAAATGTGACGTGTGAGCTTTTTACAATCAAAACTACATCTTGCACCGACAATGGCTAATAGCTCTCAAGTCTCATCATTGGTGCCGGTCCAGCAGGGTAAATAGCAAACCCTGATACGATTCTACATCTTTGAGATAAATTGACAAATGGTACAGGATGATGCTTGCGACATGGATGGCGAGATGCGGCATCAATGCTCGCATTGTGGACAAGCGCGGTACCAAGATCTATGCTGGTCAAGCCGATGGGCTGCAGCTACGTAGTCTGGAGATTTTCGATAGCTTTGGCTTTGCAGACAGAGCATGGAAAGAGGCAAACCATTTGATAGAGGTATGTGGTTCGTCAGGGATTGATGGCATGATGATATATGGCTAACCAACACACAGTTCTGCATGTGGGTATGTTTGTTCACTCCAAACGTTCCTTGTCTATTCTAATTTGTGTAGAATCCCGGCGAAGATGGTTTGATACGTCGCTCAGATCGCGTACCGGATGTACCCGTTGGTCTCTCCCGATTCAAGGAGATTGTACTCCACCAAGGCCGGATCGAGCGCTTCTTCCTTGACCATATCAAAAAGCATACCAAGAACTCGTTACAAGTCGAGCGTGGCGTGCTTCCCGAAGCGCTCCATATCGATGACAATCTAGTCAGCGACCACTCCTCCGATAACTACCCAATTACTGTGCAGCTGCGATATCTTAGCGAAGAAGAAGCGAAGCCGGCCCAGAGCAAGGGATCAGTTGTCAACGATGGCCTTTTCAGGAGCAATCTTGCAGAGGACGACACGGAAGATTTGATTGCAAACAGCAGAAAGAACCAGAGCGGTACAGAGACTGTAAAGGCAAAATACGTCGTGGGCTGCGATGGCGCCCATAGCTGGACCAGAAAACAGCTCGGATTTGAGCTCGAAGGAGAGCCAACGGACCACATCTGGGGTGTCCTTGACATCATTCCCATTACCGACTTCCCTGATGTGCGGATGCGTTGCGCTATACACAGCGCATCTGCTGGATCCATGATGATCATTCCCCGCGAGAACAAGATGGCTCGTCTCTATATTCAGCTTACGGAAATCAAGCCTGATGCCAGTGGCCGGGCAGACCGGTCGAAGATTACCCCAGAAACCATTATCACGGCTGCACAGAAGATCATCGCGCCCTACAAGCTGACGTACGAGTACTGCGACTGGTGGACAGCGTACCAGATTGGTCAGCGTGTAGGCAAGAACTTTGAGCGTGATAGCCGTGTATTCCTGGCTGGTGATGCCGTGCATACACACTCGCCCAAGGCTGGTCAAGGTATGAACGTGTCAATGCAGGATGCGTACAATCTCGGCTGGAAGCTGGGCTTGGTGGTCAAGGGAGTTGCCCAACCTAGCATTTTGAAAACATATCAGTCTGAGCGGAGGCGGATTGCACAGGATCTCATTGCCTTTGATCACAAGTTTTCGCGACTGTTCTCCGGCCGACCGGCCAAAGACCTCATGGATGAAGAGGGTGTGAGCATGTCGGAATTCAAAGAGGCCTTCCTCAAGGGTAAGCGAAACATGACTGGAGAGAATCAGTGCTAACAACTCCCAGGCAACTTATTTGCAACCGGTCTCTCAGTCGATTACGGAACGAGCATGCTAGTAGGCAAAGCAGGCAACGCCGCCGAGCAAGGCGACGGCACCGACGTCTCATCCGAGATCCAGCTCGTCGGCAAGCAAGAGCTCGCGTCCAAGACGCCACTGGGCATGCGCTTCCCCAACTACCAAGTGCTAAACCAAGCCAGCGCTCGCGCATACGACTTCCAGCCCAAACTCGCGAGTGACGGTCGCTTCCGCATCATCGTCTTCGCCGGTAATGTAGTTAATCCCTCGCAGAGCGCCCGCCTACAAGCCTTTTGCAAGTACATGACCTCATCACCAATACTGGCTCCTCATCTTCACAAGAACATTGAGGTGCTTACTCTGCATTCGTCCAAGCGCATCGACGTCGAACTTCTCAAGGACTTCCCAGAGGTGCTACATCCGTTTGATGCACGGACGGGATGGGACTACGACAAGGTCTATGTAGATGATGAAGCGTACCACGAGGGCTTTGGTGATGCGTATGGCGGGTATGGGGTAGGTAGGGAGACGGGATGCGTAGTTGTTACGAGGCCGGATCAATATGTGGGGTTCATTGATGGGGTGGATGAGGAGGGGGCCAAGGGCGTGGAAGGGTACTTTGAGGGGATACTTGTGGGGTAGACTGGAGACATGAACGATTGATTTACGATCAACGCATCTCCAATACACGATTGAAGCTGCGGTGGCAGAAAATAACTTCGGTGTGGTCGTGATCAGCCTCATTACCCGCCTCTCCTTACCGCCTTGCCGCCCTACCCGCTCGTCTGTGCGCCCGTCGTGCGCAATTCTGACGTGCGCGTTCCATGAATCACGACAGGCACAACCGTCACACACGGGGCTGGATCGAAGCCAAGTGGTAGCTAAATGGGGGGTTGACGTGCCACATGTGGGCGGCTCTGGGGGGGCTGTGCCGGGTTGGCTGGGCTGGGAGAGACAGGGATGTCGCGTTTCCACAACAACGCCCGAAGAAACAACACTCTGGCGGATGCGCTCGCATGAGGTCCCATCTCGCCCACGAATAGCCAATCCACCCCTTTCTAAAAGACACATTAATATCGCATTCCTGACGTCGCAATCGCTTCGATTGAGTTGCACAAAAGTTATCGAGGCTGCTGCACACTTCTCTTTTTACTTTGATTTCGCAGGTGACTGCACGCACAACGCACAATGAACGGGCCCACAACGCCGAGTGGTACGCACTATGGACGGCCGCCTGCATACGATGATGATGACGGCTCTCCTCAGCTGCAAGGAGGATCAACCATGCGCTTGTTGACAAACGTGGATGAAAGCCAGAGCTACATGCCGTAAGTACCACGCTATTTCCTCGTTGCTGTCTATATTTCCTTTGCGTCCGTCCTGCATTCCGGACTCGATCTCATTTTCACTCAGAAGAAGAGCCTCGTTCGAGGACACTTCAACAACAATGTCAGGCGTAAACAGTACCACTGCTGCACTGGGCGGGCGCATGACTCCCTCCGAGGTTGGCAAGCAAGCTGCCGCCGAGGCCGACATTCACGACTTTTTGCGCGAAGCGGGCGATGCGCTGAGCTCGAATACGGGCCCGGCCTCTGCAGCCGCTCAGATGCCACGCAGGAAGATGCTTCAGTCACAGGACGCCGCCTACATGGCGCCTGTCAAAACCGTGCGGATACAAGACCCAGGCTTACCGTTACAATCTTTCCGCAGACCATCCTCACCGGTATCACGATCATATCACCCCACAGGCTCTTCAGTATCTGGCCTTTCGCGGACGCCTTCAATATTGGATAGCGCTCCCAATTTTTCACCGCCAGTCGACGACGACTATGTGCCATACCGACGGCCCTTGTCACCCGATCGACCGTATTCACCCACACGCACATCCGTCGACTACTCGCGACCGCCGGCTTCAGTAAATTCGTATGAGCCAGTAGACCTCCATGGCAACCCACGACCAGGCAGCCCCACGCGGCCGCTGCCTCCTGCGCCATTGTTCACGCATGGCGGTCGTCCCAGATCGCGAGACTCGCAAGGCACCATGGACATGACCGACATGCAATCGATAGGTATCCACGACGACGACGATCCTTTTACTGAAGTGGGTGATGATCGGCCCGACTTGCGTTCGCGCGACTCGTACATGTCTGACGACACTTACACGGACGTCTACACCGAGGTAGACGAAAAGGCGGATCACTATGGGCCGGCCCCAGACGGTGCGCAAGCAAGACGAGGTGCGCGAGACGCAGTAATGACCAAGAAGGAGGTTCGCTTGATCAACGGAGAGCTTATTTTGGAGTGCAAGATTCCCACCATCTTATACAGTTTCCTCCCAAGACGCGATGACATTGAATTCACCCACATGCGATACACGGCCGTTACCTGTGACCCAGACGACTTTATCGATCGTGGCTACAAGTTGCGCCAAAACATTGGCAACCAGCGTGAGACGGAAGTCTTCATCGCCGTCACCATGTACAACGAGAACGAGATCGACTTTACGCGCACAATGCATGGTGTCATGCAAAACATCAGCCACTTCTGCTCGCGCATGAAGTCGAGAACGTGGGGCAAGGATGGATGGCAGAAGATCGTCGTATGCATCATTGCCGACGGTCGTGGAAAGGTCCATCCTCGAACACTGGACGCCATTGCAGCCATGGGCTGCTTCCAGGAGGGCATTGCGAAGAACCACGTCAACCAGAAGGAAGTCACGGCCCACGTATACGAATACACAACACAGGTCTCTTTGGACTCTGACCTCAAGTTCAAGGGCGCCGAAAAGGGCATTGTGCCGTGTCAAATGATCTTCTGTTTGAAGGAGCGCAATTCCAAGAAACTAAACTCCCATCGTTGGTTCTTCAATGCTTTTGGTCGCGCACTCAACCCCAACGTTTGTATCCTGCTCGATGTTGGAACCAAGCCAGGACCCAAGGCTCTCTATCATTTGTGGAAAGCGTTCGACACTGACTCGTCAGTTGCCGGAGCTGCTGGAGAGATCAAGGCTGGCAAGGGAAAAGCATGGCTCGGTCTTTTGAACCCGCTTGTTGCGTCGCAGAACTTTGAATACAAAATGTCCAATATCTTGGACAAGCCTCTGGAGTCTGTGTTTGGTTACATCACTGTGTTGCCAGGTGCCCTTTCAGCGTACCGCTACCACGCGTTGCAGAATGATCACACCGGTCACGGTCCCCTCAGCCAGTACTTTAAAGGTGAGACACTGCACGGCCAAGATGCTGATGTCTTTACTGCCAACATGTACTTGGCTGAAGATCGTATTCTGTGTTGGGAGCTTGTAGCAAAGCGCAGCGAGCAATGGGTCTTGAAGTATGTCAAAGCGGCGACTGGAGAGACGGATGTGCCAGGTAAGAAGAAACGCCACAATTTCCTCATCTATTTGCTAACGATCTGCAGACGCTGTTCCCGAGTTCATTTCCCAGCGTCGTCGTTGGCTCAACGGTGCCTTCTTTGCTGCCGTGTACTCGCTTCTTCACTTCAAGCAGGTGTGGGCAACTGACCATACCATCTGGCGCAAGATCCTCCTCCACATCGAATTCGTCTACCAGTTTGTGCAACTCTTGTTCACTTTCTTCTCGCTTGCCAACTTCTACCTGACCTTCTACTTTGTCGCTGGTTCCCTCGCAGATCCGGAAATGGATCCATTTGGCCACAACATTGGAAAAATCATCTTCTACATCCTACGATACACTTGCACGCTACTCATCTGCATGCAATTCATCCTGTCCATGGGTAACCGACCTCAGGGTGCGAAGAAGATGTTTTTCTGGAGTATGATCATCTATGGCATTATTATGGCCTATACCACGTTCGCTTCCTTCTACATCGTCATCGTCCAGCTGAGAGACCCCAAGGCCGAAAAGTCACTCGGGTCAAACGTCTTCACCAACCTTATCGTATCAACGGCAACTACAATCGGTCTCTACTTCCTCATGTCTTTCATGTACCTGGATCCATGGCATATGTTTACGTCCAGTGCACAGTACTTTGCGCTCCTTCCGTCTTACATTGCTACGCTCCAAGTGTATGCCTTTTGCAACACGCACGACATCACGTGGGGAACCAAGGGAGACAACGTGGCAAAGACTGATCTTGGAGACGCCAAAGGAAAGACGAAGAACGTGGTCGAACTCGAGATGCCATCTGAGCAACTTGACATTGACAGTGGCTACGATGAAGCGCTGCGCAACCTTCGTGATCGTGTCGAAGTCCCAGAGCCGCCAATTTCGGAATCGCAACAGCAGGAAGATTACTACCGTGCTGTGAGAACTTACATGGTGGTTATTTGGATGATTTCAAACGCAATTCTTGCCATGACGGTCAGCGAAGCCTACTCGGACCGCAAGGTGACGCACAATGTCTACCTTACCTTTATCCTCTGGGCTGTCGCTGGTCTTGCTGTCTTCCGCGCCATTGGTTCAACAACATTCCTCATTATCAACAGTATTCAAGCAATCATGGAGACGAAACTCAAGTGGCAGGATAAGATTGACGATAAGAAGAGCAACAGAACTGGACTTGGAGGTGGAAGGAAGTATGGTAGGAACAAGTGGTGGAAGTTTGGATTTGGCGGTGGCGTGTCGAGCAGCTGGTTCTCTGGCAGCACAATTTCGAGCAAAATTAGCAGCATGACTCCCAGCAACTGGGGTGGAAGCAGTGTTGGAAGATAGATGATGAGGACCTGGGGGATTTATCTAATGGGTAACGTGAAAAGTTGAGTAAGAGTTTACGACTTTACGAGTAAGTTGAACTTCTTTTGGCGTTTTGGGATATATACCTTAGTGTGGGATGATACCAGGGCTGAGGGTTTGACGCTCCAGCTCGTCTTTAACGTAGATAGCTCTAGATAGCTTTTGTGGATAATGATGATGAGTTACCTTTCAGCCAACGTTTTGACTTTCATGCAATAGAGCGAAAGCGCCGCGTTAACATGTGACGCTCGGGCCATGTTTACGTCCCGCTCGCACGCTTGTCCCGCCGCACATGTCGCGGCGCAACACTCGTCACTACCAAGATAAATCTGGACGAAGAACGATCATGCCACCCCGAAGTAAAGTCGCAAACATTTCTTTTACCGTCGACTCGGCATCGGAAGACGAAATGACCGTTGACGAGCTCAATGCACTGCCAACACCCGAGTCCAACAGCGAAAACAAGGCGCCAGCGCGAAAAGCGCGTGGAACAGTTGCGCAGGCTAAGAAGGCGGCTCTGGCGACCAAGGCGACTGCTAAGGGCAGACCGGCGACGCGTCGAGTGAGTGGCAGTAGTGTGGTATTCATGAAGAAGACGGGGGCAGGGGTGAAGAAAGCGTCGGCAAAAGGTCGCAAAGCGCTGATTGAGTGTACGGAAAAGAATGCTAGCGATACGGAGGAAGTAGAGGAGTTTGAGGAGGAAGAGGTGGCAGCGCCGGCTAAGCCAGCTAAGAGGGGCAGGCCAGCGAAGAAGGCGCAGGAGGAGGAGGAACCAGTTGAAGAGGCTGCACCAGCGCCAGCGAAAAGGGGACGCAAAGCAGCTGTGAAAGAGCCAGCAACGAAGAGGGAAACAAAGGCGAAGACGACCGCAAAGTCGAAACGCGCGCCAGAACCCGAGCCCGAGCCCGAACAGATGACGATACCAGAGACACAGCCAGAGCCAGACGCAGACCCAATGGATATCTCAGAGACGATAGAAGTGGACGAGATACCTGAAAGCATGCCCCCACCACCGCCATCGCGACCCTCAGCACGTCGAGCCCAAGCAAAACCAAACAGCAGGGCACGACGAGCCTCGGCCGGTGTGAGACGAACAGGAAGCGTCTCAGACTCTGAGCGAGATCCCGTCATGCGACGAAAAGTAGGCGATCTAACAAGAAAACTGGATGCCATGACATCCAAATACGAAACCCTAAGGGAAGCAGCATCATCAGGCAAAGAGACAAACTTTGAGCAGCTCAAAAAACGAACCGATCAAATCGCAAAAGGTATGTTTATCCGGCCAGAACCCATATATCTATTCCACCACACTAACACCACACCCCTATATAGACCAAGACGCCATCATAACTGCCCTGAAAGCCCAAATCACAACCCTCCAATCCCACACCTCGACCCTCCCAACCCTCAAACAAGAACTCCTCTCCGCCTCCAAAGAATCCCTACGCCTCGCCACCGAAAACAAGAAGCTCACCGATGCCCTCGCAACCGCACATTCGGAGAATAAAATCCTCTCCAATAAACTCTCCGCCGCACGCTCTTCCTCGCAGCAACAAGACTCTGGTAAAACTGTGCCTGGTAGCGCTATGAAACCGAGGACAACGGGCGTCGTGCTACCGGGTACCGCGGAGGCAGCACGCGAGGCGGCGCTGGCGAAACATAAAGTTGATCTTTACAGCGATTTGACGAATCTGGTGGTGCTGGGTATGCGGAAGAATGAGGAGGACGCTGATGTTTATGATTGTATACAGACTGGGCGTAATGGCAGTACGTATCCCCTTCCCCCCCTCCCCTACAAAGCCAAACTAACCTCTCCCCACAGCCCTACACTTCCACCTCACCGTCGCCAACCCCTCCCCCTTCACCTCTTCCTACGAAGACACGGAATTCGTATACCAGCCCCTGCTCAACGAACAGCGCGATAGAGAGTTACTAGACCTATTGCCTGATTATCTGACAGAGGAGATTTGTTTCCCGAGGGGTCAGGCGGCGAAGTTTTATTGCAAGGTTATGGATAGTATGAGTAAGAAGGTGGAGATTGTGGAGGATGAGGATATGGATGTGGACGGTGGGGAGGGGACGGAGGTGGACGGTGTGACGGAGGGGAGCGAGGTTGTGGGGTAGAGGGAGGAGTGCCTAGCTTGCATTTCATTGGAGTTTTGGCTTGGGCCGGGTTAGTGTGTAGGGGCGTGTTATGGTATGGGACTATGACGCGGAGTTTGGCGTGATGGGCGCGTTATCACGAAACTGTTTGTATGCCCTGTCCTATCATGTCCTTTTTCTGTACAGCTTTGTTAGTATCCGAAATCCGAAATACTCAATTCATGTTTCACAATGACTTTATCGAACCATGATCGCTACTGGTTGTGTCAACACATCAGATGGTCCAAAACAATAATCAAGAAATTGGTCTTGTCTTGTTGGTAGTATGTGGTAAACAACCTCGTGGTGGTGTATATTTTATCTACAAAATACCACTAATTGCTTGCTCATGACCCGTAGATCAGGAAGTAGTCCTCATAGCCTCTCATATCGCGCGTGTGTCATGTGTGTGTATTTCCGTGCGATTGCGAATCGTCGTGCGGCGTTTATTGCTTTCCTTGGACCTTGTCGGCGGCCTTCTTGACGTACTCCCTGATGGATTGTCAGTCAATGCTTTTGCGAAGTATGCATTAAATCCCGCCAGCTGGCCAGTGGCTGAAATGGCGGAGAAGGGTCCCAAGGCGTAATAACTCGAGAGAGAGAAGAAACTCACTTTACAAAGTTCTCCTCATCACTGCTCTTGGCGTTGATGGGAGGAGTAGTCGTATCGTCCGTCTTCTTGCCGCCGCTCATGGAGAGCGCAGCGCCGGTAAATGTGGCGCCCAGCGTGGCCATTGCGAGCTACCAAGATACAAAGTCAGCATAATTGCTCCAATTCAAACCCAACAACCTTTTTCTGTCCATGCTCCTCTTTCATGTCCCTAGAAGGAAAGCTGCAATTGGGACATGCGCAGACGCAAATTTAGCTCCAAGATTCCCTAGCTTCCCGTTCCACGATATCCAGACTTTTTTCTCTTCGCCCTAGCTGTGTGTTGGAGGGTAGACGTACCACATGCGATCCGACCTGACGGCCCATGATAGTGTACATGGCAACCATTTTAGCGGTATTGGGGGGTTGTGGCGGGTGGGTGGCGGGTGATGCGGCGGGTCAATGGATGGGAGATGGAGCGGGTTGCGGTGGTGGGTTCAGTTGCGACGGAGCTTGTTGCTTCGGAAGAGAGAGCGAGAAGATGGGGGCTTGGCGGGATGTGGCTGGTGGGGTGTTTATGTGGCTGTGAGATGTGGCTGATGGCGGGACAGTGTTGGCAGGGATGATGAGAGGTGCGGTAGATGTGACGTCGGGTGCCGAGGTGGTTGTGGGTGCGAACTAAAGGGTACCATGGTGCGATTGTCTTTTGCTGCTGCCTTGGAAATTTAGCTTTTTTTTCTTTCGGTTGCTGGAGAAGATTCGTTTGCATTGATTGATTGCATTGCAAGAATTTACAAGACGGTAAAAAACGAAACCTGGAGTAAGGAAAGATACGGACACACAATAGAGGAATCACACATCATGGCGAAAGACGACACTCGGAAAGTAGGAGAGATAGACGGTGTGCCCGCAGAAAGAAAAGGCGTAAGGCCCGATTTCTCGACACCGCCGCCGCGAAAAGCATTGCCCAAGGAAATCCAAGATACCCTCAACGACGACGAGAAGATGTGGGAAATCGTCTACGACGGCGAGTATGTTCATTCACTTCCCACTTACTCGCCCTTACATATCTAACACACACCTCCAGAGGTGAAGATACCACAGAAACCAACCTCCGCTATGCCGCCTACGCCTCCCGCATCCGCACCATCATGCTCTCCGCCCACCGCTACGTAGCCTACACCTCCGACATAGGCGAATCCTTCCGTCCCATTGCACATCCGTACCTTGTAAAAGGTGCCTACGGTATCTCATGGCTCTACCTCATGGGCGACGTCTCGCACGAAGGCTACAAAGCATACGTCCGAAATCAGCGTATCTTGCACCCGGAAAACTATATGGACGAAACTGCAGACAAGATGCTTGCGCCTAGCCAAAACCAGGATCTGGCAGCTACAGGCAAAGGCTCGGGGATATTCGATAAGGTGCAGGAGCTTGCGCGCAATGCGAAGAGTACAGAGGGTGTCAAGTATGGAGATGCGGGTACGGCGTTGACGGGGGGCAAGGTGGTGGCGGGCAAGATACCGGTGATTGAGGATTACAGGGCTGTTATGGCGCAGAGAGCTGTGTTTCAGGCTGTGGCTAGTATGGGGTTGCCGGCGTTTACTATTCACAGTATTGTGAGGTATTCGGGACGGGCGCTCAAGGATGCTAAGAATAAGACGTTGAGGACGTGGGGGCCGATTGGAGTGAGTGCCTTCTCTTTTCGTACTGTTATGATTGTAATCGGGATGGCATGTGCTAACAGTTTTATAGCTTGGTCTTGCCGCTGTGCCTTTCCTACCATACATGTTCGATGAACCGGTTGAACATGCGACGGAATGGATATTCTATAACGCTTTCAAGGCGATTGGTGGTGAGAAGGCGGTTGAGGGAAGGCCGGTGACGGGCGCGAAGGAGTTGAGGAAAGAGGAGACGGAGTCCAACAAGCTGAAGAAGGAGTTGTAATAAGCACGCCGAGGAATTCATACGCCATCCATTAGATATTATAGTTGGCTTTTGGGGGTAGAAAGGTATCTACGCTGATTGCGCGTAGATGAGTTACCACGAAGCATACGATCCACTCAGTCTAGATGTATGTATCTCTAATTTATTCTCTATTAATATGATTCGCTACTGATGAAACAGCTAATCGGACTGACGCTCGAAGAAGTGTACTCACCACATCATGAACCCAAAGTCCAAGACACTTCCCTCCCCTGACCACCTCCACCTCTTACTCCGATTTCCCTCTCTGCTCTCGCCTGCCTTTGACGCTCTCTCTCCATCCCCTCCTTCTCGCACGCCTCCGTGAAAACCCTCAGCAACTCCGGGAAATCACACACATTCATCGACTCAAACACCGGTGTCCTATACACGCCCTCCGCCGCCATACGCGGACTCTTGATGCCAAACGCCAATTTAGCCAAATACCTCGGATCATCCCTCGCACCAATCGTATCCAGCACCTTCTTCACCTTTACTGGATCCGGTGGCTGAGGCGGCTCATCAGGCATGACGACGCGTTTCTTCGTCTCGCACCAAGTACAATGACCGCATTCCTCCTTGAGTCCCGTGGCCTCGCCAAAGTACTCAGCAATAGAACCGGAGAAGCAGCGGTCGGCAGTGATGAGATCGAGCAGCGCCGTTGTACGGGACAAATTCTGTTTCTCATTTTCCTGCATGCGTTCATCTAGTTTCTGGACTATCTCGTCAATCTCAGCGGGGGTGGAGGGTAATGGGCGCTCTAGGCGGTAGATGTTTTGTACGCCTTCTTTCTTCAAGGTGATGGCGTCGCTTTCGTTCCATTCGTCCATTTTGCGGACGAGATCGGCGCGGGGGATGTCGGTCATGACTGAGAGGTCGTTGAGGTCGATGGAAGACCATTTTGCGGCTGTGGAGGATCCCGCGAGGATGGCGGCAGCAGTGGGGGAGGTGTCGCGGTAGATAAGATTGGGGTTTTTGATAGTGTAGGTGTATTTTGTGTAGAGGGTGCCCGAGGCACGGAAGAGGTGGAAGTGGAGTTCCATGTGGGCGTAGAGAATACCGAGCGTTATACTCTTGATGTCCGTATCTTTCGATTGCGTGTAGAGGGATACGTAGAATGTGTCGCCGGCTTTGAGTTGGGCTCGGGCCGGTGTACAGATGTCTTGCATTAGTAACCGTAACGAGCGAATCGAGGGTCGGTCGCCGTAGGTGAAGATGTTGCGAAGGTAGAAATCTTTTGTAGCCAGGTAGAACATGCATACGCTTGGCTTGCCGTCTCGACCTGCTCGCCCGATTTGCTGGCTGTAAGACTCGATGCTATCCGGTATGTCAAAGTGGACGATGTTGCGGATATCTGGCTTATCGATGCCCATTCCGAATGCGATTGTAGCGAAAACAACCATGTTTTTGCTAGTAAGAAACTCATCCTGCGTCTTTGTGCGTAGTTCTGCTTGCATACCGGCATGGTAGGGCCTGGCATTGAATCCTTGCTTCTTCAATTTCGCGGCCAGCATTTCCGTGGCTTTTTGAATCGTGACGTATACAATGGTTGGGCCGGTGTGTTTTTTGAGATGATGCACAAGTTTCTCGACGTAGTCGGTATCCTTTGTGTTGGCTTCGGCCAGTAAACGCAGGTTGGGACGGTACATGGTCGTCCTAAACAAGCCTTCTTCGGGGATTTTAAAAGCATCACGAATGTCCTTTGCAACCTGTGAAGTTGCTGTTGCTGTCAAACACACTACTCGCTCAACCTGGGCTTCTTCGGCAAAACGCGCGATTTTGAGGTAGTCGGGACGGAAAGAGTGGCCCCATTCGGAAATACAATGTGCTTCGTCAACGGCAAGTAGTCGAATACCCCCAGGAATATCTTTAAGAGAAGCCGTGAATCCTTCGCTGTTGAGTCGCTCTGGTGCACAATAGATGAGGTCCAGGCGTCCATTCCGGAGATCGTCTTGTGTCGCCAGGAACTCGCTGCGTGAGATGGATGAATTCAGTACTGCGGCTTTGATACCACGACGCAAAAGTGCGTCGACCTGATCTTTCATCAACGCGATTAATGGCGAGATGACTAGAGTGACACCGCTCTGTCCGGCTGTCCGGCGACTGAGCTGTTCATCTTGAAGTCTGAACGCTACTCCAGGAACCTAAAACCATTAGCTAGATGAGTCATAGTTTATGATGAGCTCACTTGGTAGCATAAGCTCTTGCCTCCTCCGGTGGGGAACACAACAACAGCACTCCCTCCATCGAGAAGTCGCGTAATAGCCTTTTCTTGGTCTAACCGAAAGCCATCGATACCAAACTGCTCTTTGAGAATGCTGTTCGCAAGAAGTACATTGGGCGAAGGCTCGGGAGGGGTGACCTTTTTGGATCTACTTCGCTTTGCTGGTACCGGTTCAGTAGCTGTAGTGCTTTCCTTGAGCTTTCGCTTTGCAACTGGATGAATGTCAGTCGCGATGGCTACGAGTTGTTCGTCGTCTCCCGAGGACCACCCAAACTCGTCATCGCTCATAGTGAAGCTTCCAGCGTAGAGATTAACGTTGATTGCTTATTAGGTTCATGCGGCTGTTGTGTCAAGGTTGAGGTTGCGAAGCCCCATCCGTGTCACGCTAAGAAGGTCAAATACGCGCTAGCACATGATGCTGCCATTTTCGAAGCTGACAAAGCCGGAGCGAACAAAAGTGCTTGGCCCGGTGATACGAAGAGCTTTGGATAGGACGTACAAGATGCTCCGGTCGCTGACAGTGTTCTGAAAGCGGGGTTGGGAACTACCGGATTCCTCCGCGCTGCACGTGCGATGGAAGTTGGTGACATCCGCCACTTCAAGAGCGACACCGAATTTGGTAGTGTACGCATAGCCGTTTCGGGAGTTTTGCCAAGATGTTTTGTAGGTATCCTGACTCTTGCAGGTACGTTCCTGGGGCCGTTTTTTCAAGATTGTCTTGTGGGTAGCTTGCGATGCCGGAGAAGCGCCGCAACACTGCAATGCGTGGAGCTTGTTGCATGGACAACAGACAAAACTCCCGCCTGGAACAACAAGCAACTGAGAGATTGGGCTGGAATCGTAGATCTGCTCAGGTTCTGGAGATCCGCCGTTACTATCCTCAATGTGCTCTTGGGGTCGAGATTTGTCTAGCGTCGGCATCAGAGCTTTGCATCGCATGCGCAGCCAATCACTTTGGACACGGTCTTCTCCTCCACGCTCAACCGCCACATTTGGATCTCCCTTAGTCCAATCCAGGTATAGGACGGTCCGAATTGTGTAAACCCCACTTGTTGCACATTAGAGTTGCCATGCGACAGCCAGGAATGAGCCCGGTGCCGCACGCTGGTGCACTTTGCCGGTGTCGCTCATGTCATCTATCTAGGGTACGCCGGCACGTCTTTGCCAACTCACTGATAGCCTCACCACCCTTCTATGCGCGCCCAACACGTTATTCCGCGGATCAAGAACGAGGTTGAAGAATACATGGGGTCCGGACTTCTCTAGTGGCGAACAAGCTCAGCAACTGCCAACCGCCATAACACGAAACACCCGCCACTTCCAATATTGTGCACACCTCTTACTCTTGCCCCATGCCCTGAACGCAGACATTTCGACAATACACGCATCTTTCCCATCCTTAGGCGCTTGTCCATAGTGTATGCCGCCTCTGGAGTAGATAGTCGGCAACGCCCGGGATGCCATCCGCCGAACATGCGCGCCCACGCATATTGGACTTGGACGACCTGGAGTCTGACATTGCCCCGCTTTTTGTCATAAGAACAGGCCAGACAGCTCTTACATTCCAACCGCTCTTCTACAACGAGAGATTTCGACAACTTCATCTCCATGGCTCCATCCTGGCTCAGAACAAAGAAGCGCTGCTCTTCCGCTCATGGGCGTAGGCTTTGGGTGACTTCAACCCAGAACATGAGTTTGGCGGCAGAACCTGGATTGCCGAGTCGGCGGGTCGAAATGGTGACTGGAAGGTTGTAAAAGCAAAAGTTGGCAAAGAGCGAAAGCAACTCCACCAGATCTCGGAGGAAGACGCTGCTGATGATGATGGTCGAACTCCAATCCTGACCCGCTCAAAACCCGAATTTATAAGAGGGTTCAAACGCGACAGGAAAATATCGCTCAAAGATATCCCTCGCACAAACTTGCATGCAAGATGGGAGAGTATCCAGACGATGATGGAGATGAGTGATGTTGGCGTCTTCGAGTATAACTCAGAGGGAAAATTGTTGCACGCTAATGAAGCATGGTATAGACTGAGGTATGTACACACACTGAATCGAAGACATGTATTTAACGACTCTCAGTTCTCTTCCGAGAGAAGGCGAACACCCGGAATTCTCATTTATGGATCTTGTCCACCCAGAAGACCAAACGCTTGTAATGTCCATGTGGAACAACCTTGCTCTTGGGAAATCTGTCACTTTTGAGATGCGCTGGAAAGCACGTCCAGGTTCAAATGATTCCGCGCAATGGGTCCTTTCAGCTTGCGTACCTGTATTCGATGACGACAAGCAGTTGATCGGTATTGCCGGCAACACGATTGACATTAATGCACAGAAAAAGTCGCAAGCGGCAGCACAGGCACAGGTTGAGGCACTTGAGCAAGCAAGGCTGGCAGAAATGAAGTTTGCCCGATTCGCCCAAGTTTCGCCTGTTGCGATCTACATCTACGTGCCTGAAAGCGGTAGGTTTGGTCGGTCTACAATTCTGCAAAATCTGACATGATTTTAGGCATGAACTTTGTCAATGACCAGTTCTACGAACTCACAGGTCATGCACATGCACCAGTCAACCAGTTCGAATGGTTTGATCTAATCTCTGATGAAGACGTGGAAAGGGTCAAACGCGACTGGGGAAGTATGCTGCGAGGAGATAAAACTGACGCAGTGCAATTCCGTCTGAAGAAGACATGGGTAAATCAAGACGGCAAGCGCTCGAACATCTGGGTACAAAGTTCGAGCTACCCGGAGCTTGATGAGAGTGGGAAGGTAATAAGTAAGTCAGCCTCATTTGTGGAACGAATGATCTTTGCGCTAACGTTTTCAGGCATAATGGGAACATTATTCGATATATCGCAGTTCAAGTGGGCGGAAAGTGTTCAGCGACGTCGGATAGAAGAGGCCTGGGAGGCGAAGCGGCAACAAGAAAAGTATAGCATGATCCACTTGTTCAACCAAGTTCGTCTACTAACGACGATAGCTTCATTGACATGACTTCCCATGAGTTGCGAAACCCACTTTCCGCGGTGATACAATGTGCCGACTCGGTTATTGCGTCGCTTCACCACCTATCTGGACGACAGCTCATGGCCTTGCACCCAGATCATGATCTTTCCAAGGCAGAATCAGAACTTATGGGATGCCTGGAAGCGCTTCAGATCATTGTTTCATGTTCGATGCACCAAAAACGCGTTATTGACGACGTACTTACCTTGTCGAAACTCGACTCTAATCTGATATTGATCACGCCCATGCGCGTACAGCCTGCAGTGGTAGTTTCGGACGCAGTAAGAATGTTCGAGGTCGAATGTAATCAGGCAGGTATTCAACTCGATTTCACCCTAGACGAAACGTTTAGTGGTATGGAATGGACCATGTTAGATCCATCGCGTCTATTACAAGTCCTCATCAACTTGCTGTATGCTCTTCCTCTTTTCTAGACAAACCCTCTGCTGACACCGCCAGGACCAATGCCATCAAATTCACAAAGGATCGACCTGAAAAGTCTATCAAAGTCACCCTCGGCGGATCCTGGTCTCGACCACCTAAATGTTGGCAAGATATTACTTTTACCAATGATGATGTGTCAGATATACATGTCACTGATAAATCGGAATGGGGGGAAGGGAAGAAAGCATACCTCTGGCTTAAAGTCAAGGACACGGGCTGCGGCATGACAACTGATGAGCAGAAGAAACTCTTCTCTCGGTTTTCCCAGGCCACGCCACGCACGCACGTCAAATACGGCGGTTCTGGTCTAGGCCTCTTCATCTCAAAATCCCTTACAAAACTCCAAGGAGGCTCCATTGGTGTGAACTCTGTCAAGGAAGGTGGATCTACTTTTGCTTTCTATGTCAGCACGCGACTCGCCCACCCACCAGCCGATAATGTCACGGCTCGAGCGGTGCAAGCCCGGCCTGTTCCTCATAGAACTATGACAGGCGAACAAGCGATGCAGATGATCACACTTAACGTCTTGATCGTCGAAGACAACCTAGTCAACCAAAAGGTGCTTAAGAAGCAGCTAATGAAATTTGGCTGGAACATCAGCGTCGCAGGCAACGGACAAGAAGCCCTAGACTGGCTAAAAGACAGCGTATACTGGCACAACGAAGACGACGACCCTACCACCACAGAAAACAAACACGAACTAGACATCATCCTCATGGACATTGAAATGCCCATCATGGACGGCCTAACTTGCGCCCGTCTAATCCGCGATTACGAACACCAAGGCCTCCTCGTCGCACCGCGCCCCGGCCCTTCACCCCATAGACGCGCTTCGGCAAAATCCATATCCCCCATTCGAACCGAAGAAGATAGAAGATCTTCAGACGCACAAATCGTCCAGTCGCCCACGTCTACATCACACGAACGTCCCGACAGACAGTCCCTGCGTCTCCCCATTCTGGCCGTCAGCGCAAATGCGCGCATGGAGCAGATTGAACAAGCCCTTTCGGCTGGTATGGACGATGCGATATCTAAACCTTTTCGCATACCGGAGCTTTGGCCTAAGATTAGGGGGCTGGTGAAGAGGGTGGCGCATGTGGATACGCGTGCGAAGCCGTGAGTGATGGCGATGTTGGTTTCGGGTTTGGGGTTGGATAGTCTGGATAATTATTCAACGTGGCGCATACGTGGTGTTATGCTGTTTTTTTATGGTACATGTTGGTGGAGGGCTTTTAGTGAATTCCGAATGGAAAAGCACGTGATGTGTGTCGGATTGTGAGTATCGGTAGGGACGTCGGCTGCTCAACACTTCGGCCCGACTTCGGCCCGACTTCCGCTGAGCTTTATCCACGAACCATGCTGTCATATGGTAATGGCCATAGTGCCATGCTTGTAGATATGGCGTAAGCCCACAGCTATTAGGCTCGTCGATGTTACGAAACCCAGCGTTCCAGAGGATATCGGCATCTTCAGGGGTCATTTGTCGATATCCATAATATCCATGAACCGGTCCCCCGTCAAGATATAGAGCATCCGGTATGGGTACCATGTTCGATATAAGCATGCCGATGATGGTTGGAGCATGTCGAGTTTGGAAGCAACTGAATATGGTAACATAGTATCTGCCAAGTCCAGAAGCCTTTTGTATCGATCAGCAAGTGCTGGAACAAGAACGCCTAGAACCCGCGATCTAAGACTATTGGGCAATATGATCGCCTCCTGCAACACAGTAGTCCCGTTCGGTTTCGCGAACAGCCCACAGTCAGCTCTTAGCAAGAGTTGAACAGAGTCGATCATGCCCGTCTCAATAGCTAGATGCATCGGCTGCCGATCGAAACTATCCTCTATATCCATATCCACACGTCTTTTTATCAGAATCTGAAGTCTGGTTGGCCATAGGACTACAAAATGAATAGAGGCCATTCCGTTTACTGAAGATTGACGATTGAGATTTGATAGCTGAGCGCTTCGGACAACTTGCTCGAAATCGTTATTCTTTTGTAGGATCAAAAACACGAGATCCCCGAGATCGCAGACTGCAGACGATGAGTATGTCTGTGCTGACGAGTTTTATTGTTACACTTACTGCCAATTTTTTTTCGAATATCCTCAGACCCTCTACTTGCACCAACAACGGTACCTCTTCATCGAAAAGAGAAAGAGCTCTAGAAGCCTGGCCCTCGGCATCCCCCATCAAACCAAGTACCCTACTCAGCTCTTTGTACTCAAATTGATTCAGCGCCAGAAAGTCCGAAAATTCGTCGTAAATGTTGCCCGCTCCAACATATGTCGTGCGTAAGGAACTTGGGTCAGCCGCCGTGCGTACCGCATTTGGGTCAGCGCCATATTCCAACATGAATTTTATAATAGCGACATATGAATCATCAGGATGATCTCCGACGTAGTCGCATTGCTCTATTACATGCTCTACGATGGCCTGTCCGACTTTGTTGGTTACCCAGAGCGCATCTCAAACTTGACTTACATGCAGCAAAGTACGACCAACACACTGAGTATCCCAGACTGAGGCCTTTCCCTGGACAAATAGATCATTGAGGCGAGACTGAAGCTATTCTTTACCCCAATGAAACTCCTGAAAAGCTTCTTCAATCGGCATGAACGCTGGCGAGGTTTCTGGATCAACAAGCCTAGTCGTGCCAATCACGATCGGACATGTCGAGAACGGACCCAGTTGTTCACCTGGGTACTGATGTTTATCGCATATAGCCACCAGGAAAGGACAATCTGCATCATGACCTCTAGACTTTGTTTTGAGCTTTTGTAGCGCGGACAGTATGAGAAGTGTTGTGCACGGAAAGTTTGCGTGATCCTAAAGAAAGGAAGAGGCTCCCAGTGACGCGCGCTGCTAAAGCTGCGACAGTTGCATGGCTTGCGTATACGAGAATACCATGCGGCGCCTTGTTGAGGCTGCCTGTCTGGCGATATGTGCGGTAGTTTCCCCTCGAGAATTGATTTTGTACCGGGGTTGCGATTGACACATCGTGTCTTCAATACCTGCATATCCTGACAGATTTGCCGAGTGTTTGAAACCGTCATCGCCGACATCTGTGTATTTGATTCCGCTTGCAACATGAGAGCCTCAAGCCTATTAGGAATGTTTGTAGACTGAGTATTGAATTGCTGAGACAAGTCTCCTAGGTGCCGATCGGCTCCTTGGAACCACGTCGCCGTGGTCTGGCCTAATTGTTCCACATTTTGGAGCGGTTGTCCCACATCCGTGACGGTCTTGGCTGAACTGTTATTGACCATCTTTGTGAGTGTCAAAGTTTCTTCGATGTTGATCTTCATCTGGCCCGCGGTCCCGGCGATGTTCGAGGTGAGCTTCCTGCATAAAAGTAAGAATTCACGTACAGATGAGGCGCTGAACCGCCACGGAATCCCGCTTACAGGTTCTCCGCACTCAACCACATTAAAATGGTACTTTTCTTTTGTTCGAGTCGAACGCAAATGCTTTTCACTTCATCCTTCTTCTTGGCAGAACAGATGCTGCTCCAGCGTCGTTTGAGGGGTACATCGTTTTGTTTCGGAATTAGTGTCTCAAGCGTTGTGCATAGCTCATTGGCAATGGCGATATAATCGGGAAGCGGGCCATTGGGTGTTGAAGAAGCTACTGCTTGAGGTGGAAGCTGTGTCTGTATATGTTTAGCGAGATCGCTCTGCTGGCGCAGGTCGGCCTGAAGTTGGAGGAAACGACGCGGCACGTTGCGCACATCTGAGCAGAAGCGGTCAAGACAAGATTTAAGGCGGAGAGCTACATCTAAAAACTGCAGAACAGCGGCAGCTGCACCTATGGCCTCCGCCATGGCGCTGGTGAGGTAGATGGGGATAAGAAGCAGGTGCGGGGCATGGCAACTACCTTATAGACACATCACTGTGTTCATTGCTGTCAGCCTTGCTGGATGCAATTTGTATGCAGACGTATGTGCACAGTCTCCACCATATGCACGTTGCGAACCTCTTGTTTGATAGGTGTTAAGCAAGGCTGAAACGCGTTGTCACTGCATATTGGAAGAAGAAGAAGAGGGGCACCGGACGAAACCCACACGAAAACTCATGTCGGCTTGAGTTACATAAACAGATGATGATATATATGAGACAGAATATCAAACTATGCTACTATATAAGCGTTCTGATGACGCCAATAGCTACCCGATGCAAGCAGCTTCTGAGAGTGGCGCAGCGATTCTGATTGGGGAGCAGCAAATCTATCGGCGTGAGGCAAGTTTCGAAAAAGCTCGGCAGAGCTCTTGTCAAAATCACATAATCAATGAATGGTAACATAGTGCAAGGACAATATAGTACAAGGCTTCTGTACAAACTTGAGCATCTACAACATTAGTATTATAGAATCGTCAGTAAACCACCAACATAGCAACTAGCGTTTTCGAAATCCCACACCACATCAACCCCCAAGCCCGCTCTTCCTCCTAAAATCCTCTAACCAATTCGGATTATCAGCAACAGTCTGATTCCAATCATCATCAGCGTCCTGATACAACAGCCTCCTTGACTCGCGCTGAAACATTTCATCCGTCGGGATAATACCCGCCAGCATATGTCGTCTCGCAAATCGACTAAGATGTCGCCTGAGTACTGTAGGCAGATGGAAATCATGTTGCGTCGACATGGTACGCAGCGCCTCTAGTGAGCCCGAAACGTCCTGTTCAATTTGGCCTAGTGGCGAGGTATCCAGACCGGGGGACGCGGGCTCTTCAAGTTGCATATAGGATATCATTTGCTTGGTGTGATCGATGGATTCGGGGTTCGTGGCGGAGAAGGGTACGACGGTATTTGCTTGCTCGGCGATAAGGTAGGGTGGGAAGGCGTTGATGACGCGAGCAGCTACTGAAGGCTCGAAGCCCAGCTCGCCTTTCCAGTCGGCCATAGTTTTGCCTTCGCGGAAACGTGCAGACAGGTGGTCTGCCCGCTCGTCCCAAGTATCCAGAGTGGTGTTGCATATTCCACAACGTGATGTCACTGGTGTAGTCTCAAGCTTCCAGTCGTTGATTAGTGGAAGAGTCTCGAGGCCATGGACTAGACGAAGGTGTTGGACAAGATGGTCTTTGCGACGGAATACGCGAGGGGTAGATTGACCCGCGGCGCATACAGAGTGGTTATGCCGCTGCAGATGCTCGGGTGTGGGGTCAAGTGCACTGCAATACGCACAGTGAACTCTGCCAGTCATAGGCAGTACGACTGAGGCTCCATGTGGTGTACACATCCACTCTTCCATGTTCAAGTGGAGTGACTTTTCATGTCGCGTCCAGTCGTACTTGTGCTTGAAGGTATCGCAACAAAAAGTACATTTGAAGATACGCTCCGGATCTTGCATGTTTTTGCCCTTGGTCTTGCCTTTGTTACGTGTTCTGATAGCTTGGCCGCGACGCTTCGTTTGTGACCTGGCTGAGTGGCTTGAGTTTACTGAACGTAATGACCACTCACTCGCAGCGCTATCAAGACTAGTTGTTGATGAAGGGCCATGGTATGTTCGGAAAGCATTACCACTGGAAGGCCTGCTGTTGCGTGGTGAGATGCGCATGGGCTGATCTTCTAAGGCGTGGTAGATGGCTGACAGTGATGCCGCCTCATCCTCGGGCGGAGAGTTTCGCCATCGCTGTAAAGCAGGCGATTGGTCTTGGTCTTTTTGAAGTCTTCCGCTCGGTATTGTAATCGGACTGGATGTACCTGTCGATCGTCTCATCATGTATTTGCTCCGACGGCGTGGGAGTGTGTGCTGTCGTTGCACCACTGGACGTTCGTGTTCTGTGGGTTGATCTAGAATGGTATCCAAGTGACAAATTGGCAAGGACAAATCTTTTGTCGACCTATTTGTTTCTCCAGCGTCAAAGCCCTGATAGTTTATGTCATTTGCCGAGCCATCGAAGCCGTGTATGTTAGCATCATCAGCTGCAGCATCATGCGAAGGAGATCTGTTGTCTATCGCCAGGAGTTGAGAAAACCAGTCCGGTTCGATTGCGTCTCCATCCCAAGGCGACAGCTGCCAGTTATTTATGCCATGTTCATCCATTGTTTCTGATGCAGCAAAGGTTGGTGTTGAGTCAGAGTAACAGATGATGAAGTGAGGATGACCGAGGGCCAAGAGCCAGCCCGAAGTCGGCGCAACTACCGATCATGACTTGATGACGGCACTCTAGACGCGTCTAATCCCAAGCAAACGCGGTGTACTAGGGCGGCCTTCTCGGTACCCATCGTCACGAGTTGCTTACGTCTCGCAAGGCGTAGGGCGTGAGATGGGGCACATGGCGTCGGCGATGGTGGCTGGCCCCGCAGTTCGGAGCAGTTCCTTCGCGTTAGTGCAGGAATCTGGAACTCGGAGGGACCGAGTGGACAACCACAAAAAAAGCGTGATATTTTATAGAAATGGCCGATGCCGATGAGAAAGTGTTAGAGGGCGTCTTCGGTGAGTAACGTTGATGTGCTTCACACCCCGCTCCTAACCCCAACAGCCGTCGCGAAACCCGCACATGTCTCTTCTGCAGATGTTCTGCTCAAATTACAGGCTACTTTCGCCTCATCAGTCACATTTGCGCCACTTCTAAGGACGCAGCCAAAGCGCACCAGTAAATCATCCGATCAAGTCTTTCGTCTCGGTCATGGCGGTACCCTGGACCCTCTGGCTGCGGGAGTGCTCATTGTAGGCATCGGACGTGGCACCAAGTCACTATCGCAGTACCTATTATGCAGCAAGACTTATGAGACGACTGTGTTATTTGGTGCGAGTACCGATAGCTACGATTGCACTGGCCTGATCACGGAGAGGGCAGAGTGTGCACATATCAATCGAAAACTTGTTGAAGAGAAGCTCCAAGACTTTAGAGGGACCATACAACAAGTCCCACCCGTGTACTCGGCGCTCAAAATTAATGGGATGAAAGCTTGTGAGTATGTGCGACAGGGCAAGGAATTGCCGCGAGAGTTGGAAAGCAGAGAGATGCAAGTCGACGAGTGCACGCTGTTGCAGTGGTACGAGGCAGGAGAACACAAGTTTGCATGGCCCGGTGAGGAGAAGCCAGCTCCGGCACCAGCGGCACGCATTAGACTTACGGTGTGCTCTGGCTTCTATGTACGGAGCTTTGCGCATGATCTTGGCATGGCATGCAACTCACTCTCGCATATGACGAATCTGCTTCGCACGCGCCAAGCCAACTACACCATTGACAATCTACCAGAGTCGTCAGATCTCACCCCTGCTCTTACATATTTAGATCTCGAAGCAGGGGAGGATGTATGGGGCTCTAAGCTCCGACCCCAGCTCGAGAAGTGGGTTACGGCAAACCCTCTGAGTCAAGGGCACGTCAATGGCCGAGAAGGAAATATGAAGCGGAAGCTGGCTCAAGACAAGGAAGACCGTCCCAAACAAAGATTCCGCGGTGGGTGGGTTGCAGAGACGAAGAAGGAGAGGATCAGGCAGCAGGGCGGCAAGTTCAAAGGCAAATGGTGAAAGAAGAAGCAAGATTCCATAGTCGAACATACAAACGGCCGACAAGAAAGCGATGTATAAGACGTGAAAAACCTCTAAGCTGAAGATCTATCTGGAGAAAACAACGTTACCGGTCTAAGAAAGAAGAAACAAGTCAGTGATATAGCGGTACACCATGACAACGCAACAGACTCTGCCATTCAGAAACCCGGTCTGTCATTTCGCAGCACTCCAAAACGCCCCATAATCTCACTTCTCCATACGGTTGTGCTTTACTGTTGAACGCCAAGCTTTTCCCATTAACCAGGCCCAATGTGAACAGCTTTTGCATCCCAACATAATTATCTCTCCGGATGGCAAATAAGATGGCAGGAAGTTGAGGGCGCGGTAATGCATTTTCAGCATCCCATTTGGTGATCATGTCGATTACGTCAAGATAACGGGTTTCCGAGTCCGGTGTGGTAGGTGGCGAGCAAAGTAGGATCATGTCGTAAGCGGGTGGTAGAGCAGCGACTTGTCCATGCAGCATGGATGCGGAGATTTTGTCTAGCAGTATGCATACTGCATCTTTGTTATTGCCCCTGATAGCATAGTTGAGCGCATCATATGTTAGTTCCGGGGCTAGACCGAGTAGCTCTACAAGCATAGCTTTGCAGGTATCGTTATCATGGTATGCAGTGAACTGCAGAACGTTCATATCCTCGAATGCTGGGTCGCGGGGATTTGCGCCAGCGCGAAGAAGGACATGCGCGGTTTCCAAACTGTCGAGAGAGAGTGCAGCTGCAAATGGGAGGGCTTTGATACCCTTTTTGTTACGTCGAAAGAAGACTTCTTCTCGTGCGAGGTGACCGTTGGTTTGGAGAATTAGTTCAACCCCTTGTGCGGCGTCTGCTGCGAGCGCTCTGCCGATGGCTGTTGTCCGTCCCATGTCGGTTGCTGTACGTTGCGAGAGGCTGGGGTTGAAGCCTCTATCGATCAGCAGCTTCAGTATACGAATAGCATCTTCAGGTCTCTCCTTCCACGTCTCCTTTGTTAGCGCACTGACCGGAGAAACGTAACGAGTGATTTTCTCTTGGTATTGCAGGACTTCGTCTCCCTTCTCGTAGCTAGCGGGCGAGCCATTAATACTCAACATCTCTTCTACCGCATCGGTCCAACCAGCCCTCACAAAACAAGACAGCGCCGAGTACTGGTATGTAATCTTCCATGGTCTATTTTCAAACTCGGCACTTTGTAGCTCGCTTTTGTTATCAAAGACAGCGGAGACAAACGCTGTGGGGTCAAACAGGGGATGTCGCGTGATTCGCTTTAGTACGCGAAGACCCTCGTAGACGTCCTTCCATTTCGATATGCCGTCGAACATGCTGCTTTTCGATATTCGTACCCGGTTCTCCACCCAATAACGCTGCGTTTCGAACATCTCGCGGGGCCACTGATCGACCAATGGATTCGCGCCATGGGAATTGACTAGGCATATAACGAGATCTGCATGCCCTTTGTACGCGGCTGTCAAAAGCGCATGCTCCATAGATGTCCAGCTGCTTCCCTTGATAGGTTCGCCATAGTTGGCACCTTTCTTGAGCAGGTAGTCCACCACGCTTGCGTGTCCTTGTGAGGTAGCCTTCTCCAACGCGTCGTGTCTTACTTTCTTGAGTCTCCCGCTTGATCGGTATATCGGATCAGCGCCAAGTGCAATGACTGCCATAACAAGTGGTAAGCTTCCCTCCATTGCAACTGCTTCCAGAACTTCAGTTAGAGACTCCTGGGAGTAGCCATTGATCGGCTTCGGCGACGGAGTGGTCATTCTGGACAAAAAACCTTTCTTGGAGGGTGAGACCTTTCCAGCCAATATATCATTCTTCTCGCATAACCTACGTAGGATTTCTGCCTTTGCGTCGCTCTGGCTCAAAAGGTGATTTTTGTTCTCCGAATTCCTCGTCGCATCGCATGAAATTCCTCCTAGGTGGGAAGTATTGCGAGAAAGGCCGAGCATGGAAGAAGATGTGATACTAGGGCTGTAGCTACTGCTGCTGCTTGTAGGTTCCAGGTCGTGAGAAGTCCCGGCACTCGGCTTTCGAGACACATCTGCGAGATCGAAGGCTCTGAAACATTGGTTGGCGAGGTTCACAGACTGCATTCTCTTGGGGGCACTATCCTCTACGCTAGCGCTACTATGCCACGAAACTGTCGGAGTTTGTGGAGGTTCGATGGCATCGTTGAATAGAATCAAGGGCCGTGGTTGTGAAGGCTGGGGCGCATATAGTCTTGACTGCGATCTAGGAACATGTTGCGAATCTGAACGGATGGATGGTTGGCAGCCCTGGTGGATTGGATAATTATCGCGCAGGTCATTGCTAGCCTGTGTATGTTTTGGGTGTAACGGTACAACGGCAGCTAACGGTAATTCTGTCTTGCTAGAAATTCGGCGCGGGTGATGGACCCCCAGCTCTAGTGCATGACCAGGACGGGAAGACGGTGGCTGGGGAAATTCAATTTCTTTCCTGAACTCGGCAATGTTGACTGTAAGATTTTGGGAGCTGTCTTTGATACTTGAGTTGCCCCTAGTATTTGCTGCCATCGTGGACGATGTAATTGTCTTATCGAGTGCGTGATGGGTGGAGGATATTCCGGCATGGAAGCGCGTATGCTCAGTGAGATCGTCCGCATACTGCTCCTTATCGTGTCTCATATTCATTGATACTTGAGAGTGTGTTTCTGAGAGGGTCCAAGAAAGGGCAAAGGTAGTTTGGTTTGGACATGCTGAAGGCAATGTATGAGAAGATATATTGGGTCGCAGGCCATTCTCCAAGATGAGTACGACGGCGGTTGACTGAGCCCCATCTTCAGCCTCCCGAAAGAAACGTCATACCAAAAGTTCAACCCGCACCGGAATAGGGCCGTCAAGGCTAGGATGTAGGATCGTAGCTAAGCCGAATCTTGTCCGTATATGATGTAAGTTTGACCAAGTCCAAGCATGACATTGCGAGAGTTGGTAAAGGTTATTCTATGACAAATGTCTACAGTCGTATGAAGAAAAAAATGTTCGGTCGCTGGCGAAAGAGAGGACGAAAGGCATCATAGTGGAAACGTGGAGAAGCGGAGAAGCAGCGGGAGCGCGACGGTTAACACCTGCAAGCATTCACGTCGGTTCTATCTGGCTGGGACGCATGTAACATGAGGAATGTACATATGGTCGCTCGTATACAGGATCCTTTCGGCAGTAGAAGTGCCGGCAGGCTGCGGTAAGGACATTGCGGGTGCGGAAGGTGGAGAATCCCCACGTGTGAGCGACTGTCTCCAAACGGCGTGTAGCGAAAATCCCTCTGTACAATGACGACTTACCCATGTGCTTGTGAACGTTTTGCGCTCCGCCAATGTTGCCAGCCGTGTTCGATACAAAGTATTGAATCAGCGCTCTGACCCCCATGCCGGAGACATTTCTAACTAAGCGAGGAGCTTTGACTTCCGCGGACATGTCAACGATTTCTCCTGAGCAACTGTCAGAACAACAACAGCATATGAACGCCTATCTAGCTAAGCCGGCGAGAAGCTAGCTATGCTTCCTCGCGAGGGTTCTAGCGGCCACATACATGAATCAGAACAAGTTCCGAAGCAGGCTGGACCGCGACTGCTGTAAACACAGACCACCAACGGCTACCTACCCTTGAGATAACATCAGCCACAAACGATTTTGTTCCGCGGTGTGCCTATGATTTGGAACTGTTGATCGGATGCTGTGCCCGCATGAAGTGGCATGGAAATAGATCGGAATATTCTCAATATCAGTGCTGGAAAGCAGTATAGACTACCACTTGAATGACGTAGTAAAGAAAAGTTTATCTGTGTTGGAAGGTCTATAGCACTAGTGCTGAAAGGAAATAACGATAACTAGGAATGCATTCTGTTCGGTGATGGTGATTGATTTTATTACGAACACAGCTGCTACGAAGGTATACCTAAGCTCTGCGCAAGGTGGGCCGAAGTCGGGCCGAAGTGTCCAGCAGCCGACGTCTCTACCGATACTCACGATCCGACACTGGAAGTCTTTTCTTTCTGGGTAGCTAGTAACTCTGCTTGTATCGGTAGTGACAGTATGTGTTGATGGTAACTGTGTGTAGCATCAACCATCAAAGCTTGTCGGCCTCTGCACCCATCCCTCTACTCGGACTGTCAGCTTATTGCCGTCAATAAAGCGTTCAAGAGCGCGGTTTGGCGATGCCTTGGTGAAGGCGTCTGCAGGATTGTCTTCACCATTGATCCAGCGGATCTCCGTGATCTCGCGACGCTCATATGATTGGCGCAGCGCCATGATGTCGATCATGAGACGCTTTTCCTTCGTCGTCCCAAGCTTTACTAGGCACTCGTACAAGGAGTACGAGTCTGTACAGATAACCAAGGGAATTGCAGGTAGTCTAAGTCGTTCTGTAACTATCCTCAGCGTGGTTGCAACTGCAATGCCTATGTCAAAGCCGTTGACCATGCCGTAGATCTCTGAGGCCAGTACGCTCCGTGTGATGCGCTTGAATTTTGTAGAGCTGTAGTGGATCACGTTGCCCTGTATTGTGAAGGTGTTGACGTCAATAGACTCGTTGACGAGCATAAGGACAAAGCCTAGCTGTGAGCTGAGGTCCTTGTTGTTGGCAAAGGAGCCATCCACAAAGACCATCAACTTGGCCTCCATAAGATTGACAGTGACGTAGCGCAGGCCACGATCGAGATTCTCCATCTGCCATTTCAGGCGTTTGTTGAGTGCCTTGATGTCCTCGTCTGATGGTTGCTGAGCTTGAGCAGCGACGGACAGGTCAAATGACGCCTCTGGTTGGCATGTTGATGCGATGTACGCTCCGCGGGCGCGCTGCTCGGTGTACTGTTGCGCGCGGTCGGGTGCCCTGATATCCACAAGCCTGATCCTTCCTCCTTGTCCTTTCTGCCTAAGGGTCAAGACTCTGCTGGCGTCCATCGTGAGTGTACATCCATTGAAGTCTAACTGCACTTCTGGTGTCAGTCTTGCTTTTGGCTTTGACCTGAACTCTGCCTTCTGGATCTTCTTCTCTTCACGTGACGAGAACGCTGGTGTCCCGAGCATGAGAGTGTCGTCTGTCTGCATGCCAACGATGCCGAAGATGCCTGCGTCGTCTCTGTTCGTGATCAATAGGCATGGGTCGTACGTCGATGTTGCCATGTCCAGTTCCTTGCAATGGTGTCCGTGATACGTTGTCCACCAGTGGACTCCTGCCTCAGCGATTCCATACAGCGGCTTGATCACATGGAGTAGCGTGCCTTCTGGATATCGATGGACTAGCTCAGTAGGAAGATGTGCGAGTATCGTCCTCTTCAGGGTTGTCTGCGCCTGGGGATACGCCTGCGTAATGTCACGGAGCTCGATGTTCATTCCGCGTTGTACCATCTCGGGCGCCAGCGACATAATCAGGCGCTGGCTACATCGCTGTATGGTTGGAGATTGCGTCAGAATAGTCTCCTTGCCGTGGTCCTGGTAGCCTTGGATAACTAGGCGGGATTTCTCATAGGGCTTGGTTGTCTTTCCCTTGACCTCACGTACTAGGCGTGACTTGAAGATCCGGATCTTGCTGTGTAGCCTCTCGTCGTATTGCTCAAATTTAAAGACTCCACGACCTACGAGGTCGCTGATCTCTTGGTCATCAGACGCTTCAAAGGGGGCGCCTGAGGTTGTGATCACTCCATCGTTTCGTAGCTTGATAGCTAGCTCAAGATCGTCCTGCTCCTTCTTGGTGATGTACGCGTGCGCCTTCCGCTTGTTCTTTGACCCTGGAGGGCGGCCTCTCCTGCGTGGTTGCACTGCCGGTGGTACTGCTACCGGCTCATGCGGCTCATTCGGCGCGTGTGGCGCATCGGGGTCGCTCCAAAGGTGGTCCGGTCTGTAGTATGGCTTGACGACAGTGGATCTGAATGTCGTTGGACCATTGACCATGTCAACAGTGACGTTGTGGCCATCTGTACTGGCGATCTTGTACGGGCCATTCCAGCCATCACTCTCTCTCCATACTAAGACTTCGCTCTGGAGTGGGAGCGCGAGCATGTCTGCAGTGGCTGGTCCATTGCGGGTGTTCAAGGCGTCTGCAACTTGGTGCTCTGCCGTGATCTTGCGTAGGGCTTTCGTCGCCTTTTGAATAGCCTCGCTGCGCTTGACCATTGACGGGGATGGCGGTGACTCTGCAGTCATTCGTGGGTACGCTCCAAAGACCAGTAGCGTCGGGACTAGTCCATCGGGGCCAGCAGTATCGTTGACAGCCTTCACAGCCATCTGGAGAATCGCGTCGTCGGACATAGTGTCAGTGAGTTCTGCATAGAGTATGTCCCATGCGCGGCGTAGAGGTGCATGGTACCTCTCAGTTTTGCCGATAGACCAGTGCGCCTCCGTAGGTACTTGCTTGCATGTGACTCCCATGATCTTTGCTTCTGCGCGGAACTCTGTGCTTGCAAAGTTAGTGCCTGCGTCATGCGTGATAATGTCTGGTGGTCCTTGATACGTGTCGATCCATAGTATCCGCAGTGCTTGCCATGTTTCTTTAGCTGAGATAGCGCTAAGGAACCTCGCGCCTTGAAACGCTGTTGAGGAATCGACCACATGCAGTACAGGTTTGTTGCTCAGGTACATCACATCCACCAGGATCTCATAGTTGAAGTGGTGATCATCCTTGAGAGTGAATTTGAATCGGCGCGGTGCGGAGCTGTGGAGCTGGCAGTGGTGGCAGAACTTAGTGACTTCTTCTAGGGTTCTTTCTTCGAAGTCGTTATGGCCAGCATCCTTTAAGAGCTTAACAAGTCGCGTGACAGCTGGGTGTCCAAATCGTCGATGGAGCCGTCGCAACTCTGTCTCTGTCAGGAACACAGTTGCTCTCTCTCTTTTGTTCAGATGGAACCAAGGATGTCCCCATTTGCGAATTACAGGGATGTGTACGTCACCCTGGACTAGCTCATCTGTGGTGTTGTTAAAGTAGACCTTTAACCTGTCCATGTCTGCAAGGCACAATAAGAATGGTGTAGGTGCGTCAAGCACCTCAAAGTTGATCGTCCCAATGTCTGTAGAGACCTGTGCAGTGCCAATAGATGATGTAGCCTCGCCCTTGCCGAATTTGATAGATGCCTTTCCTGCTGTAGACGTATCCATCCTAACTGTAGGATCTTCCCTTGTGAGTGCAAGGTACTGCTCCTTGCCAACTGTGGATACGTTGGCAGCGCCTGTATCCGGTAGGATCCCTTGGTACACAGATCTTGTGTAGCGGTCTTCAAGCAGGAACTGTGACGCTGGCGCTGATGGCGCGTCTTGGCGGTATACGTCGTCGCCAGAGATGTGGTGCAAGAACGCCTGATCTGCAAGGCATTGCTCCGTGAAAAACTGCTGTTCAAGGTATGCTTCCGCGACGTCGTCATCGTCGTCATCCTCGCAGTCTTCCTCCTCTCTCCAGCCTCTCTGATTGTACTGGCTAGTGTGCTCGATCCCTTCGTATTCTGCAAGATGTACGGAGAAGTCCTTGGGGGGCTGTGTACCTGTACAGTATAGCGTAGAGAAGAACTGTGTACGGGCAGCCTTGCGCTCTTCGTCTGTGTGGTTGGTAGACCAGCATCCTTCCTTCTGGCAAACAAAGCATTTCTTCCTCCAGCGTGGCTTGAATCCTCGTCCGTTGTCGTCGCGCTGCTCGCCTCCTCGATATGCTCCTCTGGATCCGCCTCTGAATCCTCCTCCACCTCGAGATCCACCTCGGATTCTTCTATTGCCGTTGTATCGGCGATCTAAGTAATATTGGTCCTCTGTGACCATCTGGGCAGTGTGTTGCCGTGCAAGGTGTGTCTCAACTGCAGAACGTAGGTCTGAGAAGAGTCCTTCACAGATTGTGGCTGGTTTGAACAGTGCCATCTCAAGCTCTGGTACTCCTCGGCAGGCATTGATGACAGTGGTACGTAGGGCATCCTCGCCCTCAAAGTTCTTGCCAAGGGCACGCTGGCATAGCTGCAGCTTGTCAAGCAGGATCTGCAGAACCTCGTGTAGTCCCTTGTCGGGGTTCTCTGTGCGGGTGCGAGCGAAGGTTGTAGTCGTCCAGTCTGTGTAGTAGTGCTGGTGATGGACGTCATGGTCGAAGTGGTTTTTGATTGCCATGTACGCATCAGCAAAGCTGTCATCTCTCTCTACAACCTGTATGTAGAATGTCTCTGCACGTCCGGTAAGGATACGGGGAAACACTGCGTGAAACTGCTCTTCTTGGATATCTACCTGCCAGCAGATGCTGAAGAAGATCTTGATCTTATCGTCTAGTAGATCGTACGCATTCCCTGTATACTTGTTGCTATTGTCCCATAGCTTAGAGAACTGCGTGATCGTATTAGCGTCGAGTCGATCGTTGCGGGACCATCGCGGCGGTAGCGTCTTGTACGGGTCGTATGGTAGTTCGGGTGGTCTGTTAGGGACGCGGTTCGTTGGCTGTTGCGGAAATGGCGTGACTTCGCGATATGCAGTCGCTGGCGGCCGTGTCTGTAGTTGCGCACGCCCTTGTTGCGGCTGCGCGGCCTGCTCCCACAGTTGTCGATGCTGAGGCCCTTCCAGCGTACCGCTCATGTGTTGTTGATGTTGATGTTGATTATGGTTTAACGCCCTATCTGTAACCTCCCATAGGGTATTCGGGCGGGTCCCGCCGTGGTCTTATAGTGTTGTCGCACTTGCCTCGTGGAACCTATTCCTAGGTGTTTTGTATCTAAGGGGAGTGATGCCCTGCCTATATACATGTTCGTGAAAAGGACTCCCGCCATTTGAAGCCGTTTTCCTACAATATTCTAGTATTTCGTGGCTTGCGCCTTTGATCGATGCAGTACAATGACTACTTTTTAGAGAGAGAAACGAAAAAGTAACAAGAGGCAGTTTGAGATATAATGAAAAGTTTGAAAGAGAGCGTGTGGGTTGTGGCATCTATGCGGCGTTCTGCCGCGAATCCTACACTGAATAATGCCAAGGAATTCAGCGGGTCTTTGTGAAATTCAAAAATAGAAATCACTCGTCATAGAAGGAGTTCGTTACCTTCACGAAGGTCTCGAACTCTTGTGGCTGGTCTATTAATTGCGCGAGGTACGCTAGGCCTTCCTGTCTTGTGCGAGGGGGCACGATGGGGCGTAGAGGCCACTTCTTGAAGTGTGTTGTGGCTCTCTTGCAGAACACTAGGTGTTCTGGCGTCTTGGGCCTGCCGCATAGGCATTTCGAGGTATCCTCGTGGTTGAATTTTCGGTGGTACCATTCAAAGTCGCCATGCGTTGAGCGTATCATAAGGACTTTCGCGAGTATCCTTCGGGGTAGCCATAACGCTGCGGGCGTGCGCCTAGTATCGTATGGCAGCTGCCATTGCGTGTACCATGCTGATAGCCTACTGCTCTTATCCTTCCACCAAGTGTCCCTTGTATGTTCGAGGAGGCGGCGGCCTACTGTTCGTATACCGGATCTTGTGGGGGAGGCGGCCATGCCGTATGGCTGGTGCGGGTCTTTGGCCTCGTTGTCAGCCAGCTGGTCGGCGAGCTCGTTTCCAACAATCTTCATGTGTCCCGGCGCCCACCGCGTTTTCACGTTGTAGGCCTCCATAGCTCCATGGATTTGGAGGAACGCCCATTGGGAGGAGGTAGGGGCGGCTCCGCGTATGCCCCATATTACCGAAGTGCTGTCTATGCAGAGTACGATCTCCCTCTGGCTAGGCAGTGAGAGTTGTAGTGCGTGTTTGAGTCCTCTGCACGCGCCTATAGCCTCCGCATCGAAGACGTGGCTAAGGGCATTTAGTGAGCCTTGTCCAGTCGCCACGGCGGCCTGGCCCTGGTATATAGCGTACCCGTAAGTGACCACCCTTGTACCGTTGATTTGTTGTTCAGACCCGTCTGAGAAGACAGTGATTGTCTCCTGTCCAAGAGACTCCCACCAGATGGTGAAATTCTGGGCAGCAATGTCCTTTCCTTGCCCTTGCGTTGGATCCTGCCTCGACCCGTCTACCGCTCATGTGTAGCGGCTGTTGTGGCTCTATTGTTTGGGAACGGCTCTGGACGCCTTGTCTCACTCTATACTGCTCTTGTTGCTCGCCCTGCGACGGTCGTTGTAATTGCGACGGCTGTGGTACTTGCGGTGGCTGTTGTAATTGCGGCGGTTGTTGTAATTGCGGCGGTTGTTGTACTTGCGGTGGTTGTTGTACAGCTGGATAGACTGTGTGCTGAGTGTCCTGTTGGCGTTTATTGCTCTGCTGGCGCTGGTACGCTTCGGACTGTTGGTCGAATTTCATGGCTCGAAACTCTGCTGGTTCCCATTCAAGAGTATTCTCTATACCTAGAATGTTGTAGAGAGAGTCCGCCACCCTGGCGTGATTGTTGCCAGTGTATACTCCCCGGTGTCGTAGCACACTCTTAAGAGACCTTAGTGTACCACGCTCAACCTTGCTAAATAGCTCCTTCGTCAATCCTTCAAAGTCCCATTTGTAGTCAATGAAGAGGTCATCGTCCCAGGCCATTGACACATTGTAGTCGTGGATAGCTTTAGCGACCCACGTTGTTGCGTGTGTCTCATTTGCGTCCGCCGGTGCGGGTACACCCCAGAGAGCTGTATTGATGACCTTGAGTGCAACTGTGTATGGACAGTTTTCCATAAGTTGTTCCGCGGTAAATTTGGCCCATGGTGAGTCTGAGAGGTGTTCTGATTGCTCATTCTGTAGTTGATTCTGAGCTTCAGCAGAGTCTGCAGAGCTTATTTCGCTTTGGTTATCCGCCATCTTGCTAGCGGGTGTTGACGCGTTGTCGGTGTTGTTGTCTCGCTGGTTGGTCGTGCCAGCGCTTGTTGTTGTACGTGATCGGATCGTCCGGAGACGCTCGTACGGTTGAGTTGTATTGCGTTGCTGACGCGCTCTGTGTTCGCGGATTAAGCTAAACCAGCAGCTGTAGAGGGAGGTTAAGAGTGCTTTGTGTTATCTCTGCCTCGCTCTGTTCTTAGCACAGAATCTTCTCCCGGGAGTATAACGTCGTGCGTCAGGGAGTTCGTCGAAGATGCGGTCTGTCTCTTCTACCTTGCTGTCTGTGATCGCCTTAAGCAATCACTGATCAGTGTTGGAAGGTCTATAGCACTAGTGCTGAAAGGAAATAACGATAACTAGGAATGCATTCTGTTCGGTGATGGTGATTGATTTTATTACGAACACAGCTGCTACGAAGGTATACCTAAGCTCTGCGCAAGGTGGGCCGAAGTCGGGCCGAAGTGTCCAGCAGCCGACGTCTCTACCGATACTCACGATCCGACAATCTGAGTATATACACAAGCTTGCTGACGACACAGCCTGCACCTTGGACGGCTTAGTCGAAATTCAACCTCATCTTACCCGCGTTTTCTCCGCAAGCTTCTCTCAAATTTCTATAAGGTTTCGTTAGTGTGCCTTGGAGCTCCTAGCGCGGAGTCCCTGCAGATAGTGCCCTCCTATGGGTCTACTCCGCAAACCCCCGCAGATCAATTTACGATAGTAGAGAACCACGTGTTCATGACAAGGGAGATTTGCTCGCTTGGGGCGACATATGGCACCCAACGGACTTCGCTAACCGCCTTGTCAGAGCGAAGAAGGACCGACATCGTCAACCGACATCTCCATCCATCAGGAGCTTCACGGGACAGCCGATAGCTCCGCGTCACCGCCAAGTCCCCGGCCCATCGCACTGCGAATCGATTGCACGTTCTCCCTCGACATCAAACATGCTCAGTACACTCAGCTTGAGTGGTCTAGCATAAACCACAAGGGTGTTCCATGGAGGGATATCCAGTTCATGGGGACTCTGCGGCCAAGTTTCCCAGTGACCAGACTGACTGAGTAATGTGAGTAAACTAAGATAATAGCCCGTGATCCGTCTTCATTAGTCCGCGGAACGGTTCATCCATTGACGATCCTCGAGGCTTACAGGCTCGAAACCTCTCCTGGGGGCAATTCTGGTGACCTTCATCCACCACGCCAACGTTTCATCGCTCGCTTCCGCTGTCCATATCGCACACATCGGGATCATCTTTCTGTTACGTGTTTTGGAGCTAAAAGACGTCCGGTCAGCGCAGCAATATCCTAGTTGATGTTGCGAGTAGATCCACGTCCCACCGAAAGCTTGAAGCAGGACCTCACATCAATGCAATAGCCTCTCTAGAGTGTCGTTCGGAGGCGGAGGTATCCAGGCTCTCTGGTTCCCCACCCAGGGAATGCATGGACGGCAATCGAACGCAGAGACGGCTGATCTTCGACTACTCAACACGGCTACCAATTACGTGGAAATACTGTGGTGGCGGGACAAGGATCAGGCCAGATTCAACCACGGCCTCGGATGTCCTAGGGTCGCCTGTCTTTCCTCAATCAAACTGGCTCTTGTTGTCGTCTCTGCCAGCCTGTGTCACCGGTAGTGTCTCAAGCGCGACCCACACCGGTATCCTTTCGCATTCATAGTTCACCATATCCAGCGGGGATATTAAGTTGCACGGGTCCCTGTGCGTGCAGCTGTTCCTCGTACGATGCAAATAGTAACTTCCATCGTAAGTAGCTGGAAAGCAACCACTATGGCGGGTATCGCACTAACTGATCACAGGTCCTCCAAGCGCTGCTGCTAGCTTTAGCGTTGTGTGTTACGATCCTACGGTTTTGGCTCCGATCCTCTGTAGAACGTCGTAAGTTGACGTTCGCGGACTATCTCGTATGGGGCGGTTGGTTCTGCGCATTAGGATGGGTGATTTGCTCTTCGAAAGCGCTCGTCATCTTGATCGATCATCCACTGGACGAGGAGACCAGGAGTGATTCCATCGATTACCTCAAGGTATGTAGACTCGAAAGCATTGCGTTGTAAATGCCAAGGGACGCAAGCTCACGAAATTTCTGGAATTAGACCGTCTTTGCGTCGTGTTTCTTCTTCGACACGGGGTTATACTTCCCAAAAACTTCTCTCGTCGCCTTCTACTGGTGGTTAATTCCACCGGGATTTCCGCGCCTCCGGTTCTCTGTATACGTCACTGCCGCGGCCATAATCTGTTGCTGGATAGCAAGTTTGTTGACAAACTTTCTCATTGCGCCTAAGATCACAGACAATTGGTATGGTGCGCCTCCAAATCCGAATCCTCTAAAGCATTTCACTGACTATCGCATGAATTAGGTCAATTGAGAACCAGCTGCAATCAACATGGAATACGTATGCCAATCTGGTTGTGAACTGGGTGCTCAACTTTGCGACCGACTTAATGCGTGAGAGTTCTCTTGTCATATATACTGAATGTGACTGATAGAAGATATCTAGTCTTCATTATCCCGTTCTTCATCATCAACTGTCTGAAACTCCGGAGACGACAGAAGATAGGATTGGTTGGTGTGTTCTCACTCGGCGTTATTACCATGGCCATTAGTCTCGGGCGCTTCATCGTGTACAACATGGATTACGACCTTCCCGACGCAGACGGAAGTGAGTGGCTGTCGCCGCTGTCGCATTCTCGGCCTCGTTTGCTAACATGATGGCAGATCTCTGGTGCACGGCAGAAATGTGCACGTCCATCATCGTTGTATCCCTTCCATTTTTGAAATCACTCATCATCCGCCCCAACTCCCCAAGCGCGACGAACCGCAGCAACACGGGCTACATACACGCCAGCGACCGTAAGACGGATGATAGTAGAGGACGTGGGCTCAAGGTTCACGCTCTGGGTGATACAATGGACGATGAGATGGAGCTTACATTCCTGGACCGCAGGCCCAGTCCTGCCCTCACCGCCGCTACCGACGACACTAGAGGGCGGGAGGGGAAGGATGTTGTAATGGTCAAGACAGAAGTTACAGTCACCAGGAGTATTGTATGAAATTCATGAGAGACGCATTAATGTTTACTAAAAGACTGATACTCACTACCTCGCCCTAATCATAGTATATGGATAGAACAATATAATTGAAACCTCCGTGTAGCTGTATGGATGGCTCATTAAAGTCTCTAAATAGCGTTTATCTGCCACTATTCGCTTACCAAATGCTCATGCACGTCTGTGAGGTGGTGCTCTTATGGTGTTCACGTGATTCCCGAGCCAGTCGTCCACTCTTACCCGGTTCCGTACCTCGGCTTCGGTAGTGGTATTTTGGACAACACGGGTATTTCCCAATTCCTTCTGTACGTACGATATAACGCTAGCAGGCTAGCAGGCTAGCCGCTACCGCATCGTGCTCGCGGATCTAGCTAAACGACACCACCCACGTCGTCGCCACTACGTTCGCCAAGCAAACTTTCAAGTCGCCGTTAAATTTCCTCTCGAAAATGTTTCTGTTGGAATGATGGCGCAGGCAACAATTCCAGCCTCCTCGATCCGTCTGATTTTGTTGTATAATGACCAACTTTGAAATATTCACCCCTCTCAGCATTTCCCTAGATGCAATTTTACACATTCTGCAGTTTTGTCCGCAATGATGCACGGTGAGATAAAAAATGGACTAAAACAAGACCGACTACAGCGGGAGAAGAAACTGAACAGCATAACATCAGTCAATGCATGCATGTAAGTAATGACTTGTCTTCTCTGCTTCTCATCTAACCAATTGCCCACGACGCCATTGCTCCACCGCTCTGATACATATAGGTACTAACAAATCAAGCATCAAAGATATACAGTGATGAAATCACAGTCTAAAGAATAAACTACCTTCTCAAACAAAACGGAGTTAGTGCCAGACGTAGTGCAGTTCTTCCAGATTCCGTCTCACCTCCCAACTACTGTAAAGCTGCCGCTCGAACGGGTTCTCCACATATGTCTACCCCTTTGGACAGCACTGATACTAGAATACTGCTAATACTAGTTCAACGACGATTTTTGAGAACTTACAATAGTAGAGCAAAACACAGCAGCTTCATGGTCATAAGGGCCAAGTCTTGTGAGGCTGGTTGCTCTCGGCCCAGGATTGCATACCACAGTGCCGTAACCATCTCTACAATCATATCGAACATACGCGCTGTTACCATCACTGGGAACTAGCCCAGCAAGTTGATAGACAGTACTCAAAGGCCGATTGCTACATATGGCATGCACTGTCGTGAAAGTAAGTGCTGCGATGATGGTTGCAGAGTATCTCATGGTATCAATGAAAGGCCGAGGAAGTGCGCGTAAAAAGTTGATCTGGATGAATTTGAATTGTATTTTTTTCGGTGCGATGCTGATGAACGAAGATCCTGGTAAAGAAACTGTAATAGGACAAGAACCTTACCCTCCACTTAAATACTGCAAAACCTGGGATTGGGGGCAGTTTCGGTATTATTATCCTAAACTCGGGCTTACTGTTCGGAAATATTAAGCTTTGGGTTGCTTTTGGCAGTACGTAGTAAGATCGTATCTGGGTGACGTAAAAAACTTGACAGTGTGCAGAAGTGGCCTGTGGCACTATTATGTTTAATATTTCATATTACCCACACATTACAACCAGAGCCATTAAGCAACCGTCCTATTTATGTGGAGTTAAACCGTATCATCAGACATTAGCAAGCCAACAGCAATTCAGAGTTGTTAAACACCTTCCGATAAACTCGATGTATCTATACCGCGAATACTAGCCAGTGCGTAAACCAACACTAATAAATTCCTGTCGTCTAGGTATTCAGGGTTGTTCTCAGTAATATCAAGATCGGGGTTATTTCCGGCAGTTTTAGATTCTCACCTCAGTGATAGTGAAGTACTTGATAGTGTGGGTAAGCACCTGTAATGGCCTGATAGTTGAACCGTACCATCAGACACAAGCCAATCGCAATTCAATGTCATCAAAAACCTCCGGGTCAACCATCTTATCTATACCGCGATCATCAACTTGTGCGTAATCATGTAGTGGCCTGATAATGTCAGGTATTTCATGTCAGTCAGATGGTCGGAGTTATTCTCGGCGGCAGGTTTCGAACGCGGGTCTCGACCCAATATCGTTGCGGTAGCTCGTCGCGTTTCTCAGGGAGCAACATGCTCTAATAAGCGCGTCTGGTGTTGCAGGTATGGCCGTGAAATATTGTCGAAACGCTGTGAGAGGTGTCACCCGCCTTTGCCATGGCGGCCGTGCGGGCGAAACGAGGCGGTGCACTCAGCCAACCACGTGGTGCGAACGCCACAGATGACCCACAAATTGGCCTTGCAACTCCAGTTCTCTCCTGCTGATCCAACGCCGTCACCGAACCCAACCTCACGCCGTTTCCCTCCCTGCGCCGCCTCCCCACACTCGCAACCGCCCTACTGGACTCGCGTGCTCATCCTTGCGCCTTTCTGGACGAGCGTGTCTATCTGCTCTGGATGCTGGCGACATGATGATGTCCAGTGGCCGCTTCCTCCCCTTGTCGACGCTGTTGCTGGCGGCGTGGGCGAACCTCGGGGCCGCCGACGACACCATTACCAGCGGGAAGATCAAGGTGCAGCTGTATGCCGCGCCTTCGTTTCTTAGCGAGGTGTCTGTAGACGCGTATAATAATCAGTGTTTGTCGCTGGATAATAACTTGTATGTTGTGCCAAACCATTCATAATATACAAGAACCGGGTTGCTGATAGACAAGCACAGAATCGACGGCCGCGTGCAATCTATCCTAGTCGGCGGCCACGACGTCGCCAGTGTGCTTGCGAGAGACGACTTCTGGACTTGTAGATTCTACGAGTAAGTAGGCCGCGCGCGGGCGCGTAAGTCGCCAAATGTAAAGGAAACAAACTAACATATTGGACTCAGTAACTACGACTGCGAGGGCGACAAGGACATGGATCAGTACCTAATGATCGCAGACGGCGCGAATAACCTCGGTAGCATTGGCTGGGGCACAAATATCCATGGCTTGAAGTGTCGAAACATGGATAGCCACGACGATTGAGCTGGATAAATCGAGGATTAAACGAGGAAAACACGTTTATATAAGGCGATATATTGGGCTACGACCATCTACATCGGATCTCGACTGTTTACATGGCGACGCTCAGCACCCACCGAGGGTACTAATGCTGGAAGAGCACCTGCGTCGCGGAAATGATTGGGACCGGAAGGGAAAGGGAAGGAAAAGCAGGTGCAAGGATTGTTCAGCTGCATGATACACCCAAGCGAGGCGCTATCAGATGGAGAGAAGCGTTCCAGAGCGTCCACGCGGGTGTCATGAAATACTTGACATACTAGTGTACAAGGGCCACTGTGGTTGCCAGACACGCCTATTACTACACTGTCAAGTATTTGTGACACCCATTTTCGTCCACACAAACAGCACTTGAGAGTGCATTGCCAGGGTCATAGGCTTGGCGTTCGCGTGGGGTCATGGCGCATCAATATGGACGATGATATAGAAGCAATGGCGTTCGAAGCGCTCGACGCCAGGAGTAGTAGTTAGTAGTGTAGTCAATCCATAGGAAGCATAAAGTCAAGGTTCATCTTGGCTTCTTCCACTTTGTAGATGTGTCGTCAGCATGCGTTTGTTTCGTTCCACCGTGTCGATACGTGTAAACGCCCTCGCTCTATCATGGCAGTACATGTATACACACCCCGGGTATCTCCAGCATCCAAAACAATAAGACGAATCAGCCCTTGAACGCCCTGCTACACCATGTGAAACTGCTCTCTTTGATACCCACTCCCTGTGCCATAAACCCCCTCTACAAATCAATCAAATCCGGAGCCTCGCCCGACCCCACCCCCCTCAGCAGCACAATCATATTCCCACTCGAACACGACTCGCCAATCTTCTCATTGAACTTGAGCAATCGTCCGCCCTCGACATGAAAAACCCGTAACTTCTCCTCCTCACCTCCCCCGTGATTATTCACATTCTGCACCTGCAGCGCCTTGGCCGCCATATCCAGCACACGGCCAACCGTCCAGTCTTTATTGTAGAAGAACTTGCCCGTCGGATATTTCGCTTTCGTGGTATCCGCCGAGGCCTCTACATGCAAATACACGCGTTTCTCCTGGGGTACGCTCGCCTCACCCTTCGCCGTTCTCTTCAGAGCATTGAGTTCAGCCTGTGCCGTACTCGCCGCACTACTCGAGCTCTTCCCCAGCCCCAAAAAGCCGCCTGTTTTCTTTGCTGCACCCCTCCTTTTCTCATCCTCCTTCTTCTTATTCTCAGCCCACAGTTTCAACTTCATCAGCGCGCTCATAGTTTGCTGTCTCGCGCCGCCCAGGGGAGTGACGCCGCGGCGCGGGATATTTTGCAATCGTGGTCTTCGGGCATGCGGTGCTTGAGGCAGTAGGAGTGATTGCATGTTGAGCATTCGTTGGGTGGCATGCGGGGGGTGTTTATGAGGGTTTTGCACGCGCGCTCGTAGCATTGCTGCTCATGGGTGTAGAGGCTGGGTTTCGGGGTGAGGGGCGTGTTAGTAGAGGTGAGGGCGTTTTGAGCTGCTCTTCGCCGGGCCCAGTCGCCGGCTTTGGTGCAGGCGTGGGCGTGTTCGGTGCGGTGGTCTAGGCAGAACTTGCTGGTGTTTTGTTAGTGGCGCTATGCGCCATAATGGAGAGATAACTTACCCCTGACAACTCTCGCAGCGAAACGGTAAAAAGTCGAGTACATGGCAGTATTCCATCTGGCAGTGTGCCCCGATAGCCTCGACTTCGCCCTTCATCTCGGTGTAGCTTGAATCGTTGGAGGAAGCCATGTTGGCGGCACAGAAGAAGTAATAAGAGAAAAGTCACCAAGTAGCGATTACAAAGCGATGGTGAGGATGAAGGAAAGTTAAGGATGGACTGAGAAAGTGCAGGAAGCGAAGAGAAGGCTGTTGGCTTAGGCAACTGAGAGCTGACGATTGCTAAGTCGGCAAGGTCGGAATGGCGCGCGTCAGTTCCGACCGAGGTGGCACGTTAGTAGCGTCAGGGTCTGGCTTACCTAAGTCGGCTTTTCAGTCCACAGCCTTTGGCCAAAGGCTGTACAAGCATCTTTTCTACAGACAATTCATGGGGAAATATGTCCGTGGCGAAACCTCCTCTAAGCTCTTTGAGGAGCTGTGGGACTCTATCATTTTTGAGTACCTACAATGATCATGTAGTTTCAAAAGAGAAAAAAATACTTTTCCGCTGGCTGCCAAAGGTCATCTAGATAAGATGTGATTCCTATCCAGTAAAGCATATGTGTAATAAGCCCACGGCTGTCTATTGGCTCCAGCTCGCGCAGACTGGAGCTTCCATACTCCCGATAGGACTCTCATTTCCTGTGGTGTCTTTGCAGCCATATTCGACGACTAGCATCGAATTTGTACAAAAGAATAAGTATAAGAAGACACCAAGAAGCATAACGTACACATAATTGTCTAACCAATGTTTACTAAATTATTACAGTATATATTCACCCATTTCCAAGCGATTCTTCTCAGAACAAAAACACGAAAAAGACAACCTCTAATGTCGATTCAAGCGTGCCGGGACGCATGGCGTAGCGGGACACATTTCCTTCCGGGCCCTCGGGTTGCCCGCAGCGCACTTGTATGTAGACAAGCGTAATGCGCATCTACTTTATAGCTCTCGTTCTCTTAGCACATTAGTCGCCGACTCCGAAGAGCGCGTTGTTAACTGTGCTGTCGCTCGTTCTGTAAACTTTGTCCCTAACTCTCCTCTTCCACTCCCCTGTTTATTCGCGACAGTACATATCTTTAGACAGCTCGGTGGACTAGAAGGGAAGGTAAGATGGCAAAGACCAAGTCTGCAGCGTCAAAAGGTCGATCTAGGGTAAGGAGTGACATCCCGGCAATTTCTCCGCGCAGACGGCAAGATCGTCAGGATGCAGTTGACGGTCCGTGCGCTATTAATAAATCTTGGCATGTAGTAGCGTGCTGAGATATCTATGCGCCTGCCCGCGCGCTGTGGCTGAGAACTGCAGCTTTGAGCACCCCGCCCCGGGCAGCTCTTATTCCCGACTTTGCAGGCAGCTGTTGATCCAGACGTGCATGCGCGCATTGCAGACAGCCGCGCTTCGTACTCCCTTCACTAGTTTCCTCGCAAAGCAGCTTCCCTACGCCTACACAACTTACATCGCTGCGCACCCTTCCTCGATAACATGAGTCTCGCGAGACGCTACGATGGCAGTCTAAGTAGGACTGCTCTATCTGCTGGCACCCTGCCCATGTGCGCAGTAATCTGACGTGAGTTCACACGACGAACGCTGTCGAGCGCAAGTTATGAGGCGGGACGGCGCAGGATGCTTGATGCTCCCAGCATCCGCTCAGCCTGGTTGCATGCACTGCCTTGACAGGCAGCCTTCACAGCAGCCCAGCGTAAGCTTCCTCTGCCTGCTTCGCTCTATCGCGACTATTCCTTTCTACTCTCGACACCACTAAATTCGTTCGCGCCTCGCCTTTCCTAGACTAAGCCAAGATTGCAAACGCTATGCGGCTTCTCCACCATAACGCGCTGGGAAGGCTTGTCTTAACGGATTTCCGCAGCAAAACGATTCCGCCCTACGCTATTCTATCGCACAGATAGAGCGACTCCGAGATCCTCATCGAAGACATATCGAACGGGACCTACAAGGAGAAGGAACAAGGCTATTAAAAGCTCTAGTTTTGCGCTGAACAGGCGGTCTAGGACAAGCTGCAGTATTTCTAGATCGACATATGCTGCATCGACAGGTGGAATAACAATGAGCGCTCGAAGGCGATTAACTCGATGTTCTAGTTGTTACGGATCCATAGACTCGCTCGGCCCATGGCCCCCATATCGATAAGATCCTTATCTTATCGGACTAGCGCCTTGGCGCCCACAGCATAAGTTCGGGCTCACAACGTAGATAGCTCGATAGCTTGTATCTTGTCAAATCCAATCTTTCTTGATCGATCCCTCACATTATACAAGCTCCCTTTCAAGACGGGCCCTGGAAGCTCGTTCGCGAATTGTATTTTCTTGTCGCTGCGAGCGACACGCCAACGACAGAAACACTTACGCGACGAGGATCGCATTGACTATACGTACCGCCGCAGAAGAGCCGCCGTAGTAAAGACACCTGATTGCCCAGCTGCATAGCTGTACCCACCTGCCAGAAAAGACCCGCCGCCGCAGAGTGCCGCCGCGGAAGACACTGGATTGCCCAGCTGCATAGCTGTACCCACCTGCCAGAAAAGATCCGCCGCCGCTTCTAGCGCTGCCGCCGATGATGGCCCGACTAAACGAGACGAGCAAGGATGCCCACGACCAGGGTGCTCAGAACGACACACAAACCATTCCAGCAGAGTCGCACCTTGAGTACGGCGACTTTGAGAATGACGACGACCTCACCGAAGCGGAGAAGGCGACTATTAGACAGAAGTTCGCCACCCGCAAGAGACAGGTCACTTTTGGCCGTGGAGACGGCCAAGGCAACAGCGAGGACGAGGGCAATGACGTCAACGCCGCTGAACGCCGACGACAGTCTTGTAGACAGTCTCTTAAGAAAGCCGTTAAGCCAGCGGATAAGACTTCTATAGAACTAGGCTACGACGACGACACGGATGACATGTATCTACGTTTTTATGGCATCCACGACAGCGATGAGCGCGAGATCCTCGCGGACATGAGGAACGTTGACGACTTCACCGCTTGCATCGCTGAACATGCTGAGAGTGTCTTTGGACACCTAGCAGATTTGCTTAGTCAGATAGCTGAACAAGCCGAACAGCTAGACCAAGCACATAATGAAGCCCGTGTACAACAAGAAGCAGCTGACGCCCGCGTGGAGCGCGCCCAGACGCAAGCTCGCGCTGCCGCCGCAGACGAGCTTGCCCAAGTCACCCAGAAATGCAACCGCATGATCACTACTAAGAACAGCTACGCTTCACGGCTAGCAGTGCTCGAAGACGAGCTTGCAGCCTCGCGCGAGTCAAACGTGAAGCTCTACTCCCAGATTAGCGACCTCTACAACGAGAGGAGTGTCCTGCAACAGCACGCGGGCGTCCCGACGAATGGAAATTTATATGACACGCGCCCAGCTCAGTTCCAGTCGTCCCCTCCTCCAATGACTGCGAACCCGTTCATTGGCACTGGCACTCACGACTTGATGCTGCCTCCCCCTATGGCACATCATCAGAAAAACCGACCCCTAGCTCGGTCTGCTGTATCGGACAACCTCACTGCAACGGGTGCAAAGCTGAAGGATATTGACATCTTTCGCGGAGACAGCACCGACAAAGAGGACTACAAGTATTGGCGCCGCAGCGCCAGGAACTTCTTAAACAAAACTACTATCCACACAACTGTTCAAGATCAGCTCGACTACCTGATTGACCACTTGCGAGGACCAGCCGCTGCACAGGTGGAATATAGAGCAGTACCCGGAGCTCGTAACGCCTACGTGACAGCGGAAGAAGTCCTCACGGAACTTGATCGCATCTTTGACACGGTCGACAAGGTCACCGAAGCCAGCGCAGCGCTACACGACAGCGGCTCTGGAGGATTAAAGCAACGCGACAATGAATCGTTTAACACCTGGGTAGCCCGCTTTACCTCTACAGTCGCACCATTGAACCTGGGCGACAACGAAATGATCCAGCACGCGATCCGACTCATGAAGTTTGGTCGTAACGCAGGTTTACAATTCCGCCATGGTGATACTTGGGAAGCGTTTGCCCAGAATTGCCGCACTCAGCAACAGCTCTCACGTCTCACCCAGAGCAGCGGAAATAATGGTACCCGAACCGGCCGCAACACGTCTAACGCTGGTGGTGGAGGTAATGGCAACGGCAACAGCAATAGCAGCGGCTCCACAACGCGTAACAACTACGGTCGCACGCGCGCGCAACTCAACGCGTTGAGTAAGCAAGGCGAGTGCTTTAAATGCGGAGGCACGGCAAATGTCAGCGGCAAGAAACATCGTCCGACCGACGCAGACGTCCCAGCAGCCTGCAAGTCTGGCTCTATCGTGCCAGCTAGCCGCGTCCCTGCCCTCAAAGCTACATTCACCAACGCCGCCCTCCAGGCCACAGTCGTCGATGCCACCGACGAGTCGGAAAACTAGCCGTCCCCGGCGAAAGACGCCCCCGGGGACCGCACCAAAATGGTCCACAGATACAGTTACAGTCACAGTCAAAGCCACAACTACCAGTCCAACCCTTGTTAGCGATACCCCCTATTGTTTCACCGACCCTTGATACCCAAACTACCCCGCTCACCGGAGCTACACCTAGCACTTTACGCGTTTGTTTACAAGAATTGGAGGACTGGACGCCTCCCCAGGCTATAGAGGACAGACACGTTGTCTTGAGCGCGAACACTATGGTCAAAGGCAAGCAGCTTGTCCAAGGCCAGCAGTTCGTTTTCAAGTGCAAGGTCGCCACTTCGAATAGCTATATTGATACGGAAGCTTTGACTGACTCTGGTGCTACTGGAAACTGTATCTCCACACTATTTGCGCAACGACATAACCTGCCGACGTTTCGGCTTAAACAACCTTTGCAACTACGACTTGGCGACGGCAATTTCGCCATGGCGCCTATCACACACGGCGTCCTAGCCCCCATCTCCCACGCTGAACACGTTAGCGAGGAACTCTTCTACAGTGTACCTATGACGACTTACGACTTTATTTTCGGCACTTCATGGCTAGAAGAGCATAATCCACACATCGACTGGAGGGAAAAAACTATGCGTTTCAACAGCGAGCATTGCTACGCCAACTGCCTACACAAAGGCGAGCAAGTCACTGTTCGCAGCAGTCGACACCGACGGGCCGCAGCAAAAGCCAAAGAACGGAACCCGACCTACGCGAACATGGACATACACCATGTGTCAGGTGAGGCCGCTGCCGCACTGGCATCACGACCAGAGAACGGTACTATCTGGCTGTACCCACATGATTTTGAACAACTCGACAAAGATGACAGCGATGACGCCGACGAGAGAGCCCAGGCTAGCCGCGTCTTCGCCTCACTATTTGCCATGGACATGAACGCCCTATCTCAGGAAGACATTGATAAGTTCCACCAGAAGCTGAACTCGCCCGCTAAAACTCGCGACGAGGTCCTAGACAAGTTGCCCGAATGGCTCCACGATCTCGCCCACCGATTTAATCCTGATCCCGCCACGACAGACTTGCCCGCTCGACGAGGCGCGGTCGACCACAGCATTGACATTATCCCCGGATCAAAACACCCAAACGCTAAGATGTACGGCATAAGTAAGGACGAAGGCCTTGCCGTTAAAGCTTATGTTGAGGACATGAGAGGACGCGGTGAGATCCGTGAAAGCAAGTCAGACTTCGCTTCGCCTGTGCTCGTCGTCCGCAAATCTGGAGGTGGACTCCGCATTTGCGTGGACTATAGAGCGCTCAATGCCGTCACTATCAAGAACAGGAACGCTCCTCCGATGATTAAAGAAACGCTCGCGCGGCTAGCTAACGTCGCCTACTTCACCGTGGTCGACGTCATCGCCGCCTTTAACAAAATCCGCATCAAGGAAGGCGACGAACATAAGACTGCCTTCCTAACACGGTATGGCCTATTCGAATACTTAGTGATGCCTTTCGGACTCTGCAACGCACCAGGTACCTTTCAGGCCTACATTAACGAGGTTTTACGCGATTACCTTGACGAGTTCTGCTCTGCATACCTCGACGACGTCCTAATCTACAGCGCGTCTTTGGCAGAGCATAAGGTTCATGTCCGCAAGGTTATCGAGAGTCTAGGTGAGGCCGGACTTCATCTAGACATTGACAAGTCCGAGTTTGCCGTCCAAGAGGTGAGATACCTGGGCCTCATTCTTACAACTGAAGGCATCAAAATGGACCCCGCCAAGGTTAAGTCAGTGCTCGACTGGGGCACCCCAACAACATTGAAAGAGTTGCAAGCATTCCTAGGTTTCGCAAATTTCTACCGAAGGTTTATTGTTGCCTTCTCTTATATCGCGCGGCCGCTCACGGATCTTACCCGCGGGACAAACGGCGACGTCAAGCTGAACTTTCCTATCGCCCAAGGATCTGCTGCCCACGACGCATTCGAAAAGCTTAAGAAAGCATTTACCATCGCCCCGGTCCTCGCGCACTTCAACCCCGCGCTTGAGACCTGGGTCGAAACAGACTCCTCCGACACCGTCACAGCAGCCGTGCTGTCCCAAGTCCAGACTGACGGAGTGCTAAAACCAGTCGCTTTTATCTCCACAAAGATGTCACCAGCTGAGTGCAACTATGCCATCTACGACAAGGAGCTTATGGCCATCGTCCGCGCCTTTGAGGAATGGAGACCAGAGCTGGCCGGCACCTCGGACCCGGTGAAGGTCATCTCAGACCATGCCACCTTACAGACCTTTATGGTCAACAAAGCACTCAACAGGCGTCAAGCAAGATGGGCTGAGTTTCTGAGCGAATTCAACTTTAAGATCACTTACCGACCAGGCAGACTAGGCAGCAAACCCGACGCCTTGACGAGACGCCCCGGCGACACACCCACGAACCCAAACGATCCACGGATCATACATCAGACCCAGACGATCCTCGGCCCCGACCGCGTCGACGACGTCATCAAACGAGACACGCACACACACAACGACGCCCGACAAGCAATTCAACTCGCGGCGCTGTTATTCGAATACGCGGAGGAGGTACAAACGCTAGCAGGCATGCTATATCTAATGAGCGAGGAGGCGTATGGCGTCGATGATTTGGTGGATGACGACTCAACCCCAGACGTAGCCTTGGACAGCCAGCCTAAGGGGGAGACAATTGAGATCCCTCACGCTGCTGCGCCAGCTTCCCTGGCACGGGTGCCGGGGGAGAACGCGCCTGACGATGGACTTATGACAGCGATCGTAAATGCCTACCGCGTCGATCCCACACTACAAGAAATAATACGAGCAAAGGCAGACGGCGCCCGTCACCTTCCCCACACTGTCGCCATACAAATGAAGCTGAAGCTAGAGCTACAGGACTGCGAAATCCGCAACAGTCTGGTTTACTTCCGCGGCAGACTCTTCATCCCCTACGACGACGATCTTCGCAAAGACATCGTCCGTCGGTTCCACGACACCGCCACGGCGGGCCACGGCGGCAAGCGCTCTACCTACTACCTAGTTAGCCAACAGTACTACTGGCCGCTCATGACAGACACAGTCGCTCAGTATACCCGGAGTTGTGTAGTTTGCCGACGCGCAAAGCCATACAGAGACCGCAAGCAGGGACTGCTGCACCCGCTCCCCGTACCGAAACGATTCTGGACTGACATTTCAGTCGACTTCATCACACCCCTGCCAGACTGTACTAGATTCGGACGCACCTACTCTCATGTCATGGTCGTGATTGACCGGCTAAGCAAGTCGCAACGGTTTATCGCCCTAGACAGCCTTGAAGTTGATGCTGTTGTCCGAGCATTTGTCGATTACGTCTGGAGAGAGGAAGGTTTCCCTACTACAATTGTGTCTGACCGAGGGTCACAGTTCGTCTCTCATTTCTGGAAGGAGCTGTGTCATCGACTGGGTGTTACACCAAAGCTCTCTACAGCTTACCACCCAGAAACAGACGGCCAGACTGAAGTCGCCAACGCCGGACTAAAGTGTTACCTGCGTGCTTACACGAACTATATGCAAAACGACTGGGTAGACTGGCTGCCACTCTGAAACCTGCCATAGCTAGCATATCCGTTGGTTAATGGGAAGTTTTTGTTGTGGTTGTGTTGGAGCGGGTTCGGAAGAATATGCGAGTCTTTCTGATTTGTCGGACAATTCTTTTCAGGGTAGGTAAGGTAAGAGTGATGAGGCTCGGTAGAGCTCTCGTCAAAATAATGTACTGGATGGTTCTCCAGCTTGGTAC